TTGAGTTATGTTTCTCAATGTGGACAACGATGGACAAAGCTAAATTTGGTAAATATTCTGTTGCAATTGGGGAACCTTAATTGTTTTAATACGAGAAAATTCAAGTATTAAAATGCAAATAAAATGCTAAAACAAGTAGCAGTAAGAACGCAAGAAACTTGGTGTATATCAAGGGACAATCGTAATTCAATATGATTAGCGAAAGTGTGTCCTACTGCCTATTGAATGTAAATAGATGAATACGGACACACACACACTTACATATTATATAAAAGATGTTGTTCGAAACTTGTAATTTTTTAAGGACATTTCTTGAGAGATTGATAACATCGGACCATCTACATAAGTATATAAGGGAACTATTTACAATAGAGTAAATTAAGTTACGTATACGCAGTGTGTATTAACAAAGTTAGAAAAAAAAATACATGTTGGTATGTCTTTCAATGTACATATGTGCAGCGATCAGACGTTAACCGTTGAAACCTAGAAAATCAGCGAAATGAAAGGAATTTTAGGAATTATTATACAAACTGCGGGCAACCTGTGAAAATCTTAAAATGTAATTTCACTCTCGCTCCAGTATATGTATATGTATGTATGTACATTGCCTACGTTATTTATTTGTAGCAACAAAGAACATGTGAATACGAGAAGAACGATTGGAAATCCTGGACAAATCTGTTGTTCAAATTAAACTAGTCATAAGGCTAACTTGGCTTTCATCGTATTGAAACTTGTGAGACAGGCGACTTTTGATTTAATTATTAAAAAAAAAACAGTTTTCATTATCATCATTCTCTGACAACATTATAACGCATATACGAGTACGTATGCATTACAAGTATATATCATTAAACTCACCTTTTGAATAAATTGAGGTTTACTCCTGTGGAAGACACATTTTAGAATTTTTCGTTATGAAAAGAAAGCATTGCCACTGAGCACATACATTGGCGTTAATTTATATTAAGTTTTCACTTTGTTTTTGGCCAAGTTACACGTATATACACATCTTTACGAGTACAAATTCAATTTTGGCTTTTGAATTATGATGTCGAATCGATTACGTATGTATTATTTCACTATTTTTTAAGATAATTTCAAATGCGTTATTTATTTGTTGTACATTTACATTCAGTTGGTGAATAGCAGCAGCAGTAATGACAAGGACCGAAGAAACGGCACAGCGGCAAGGCAGATGTAGCGCCGACATCAACTAGTACATGTGAAACCAAAAGCAATTTCACTACATGTGTATAAGTATGTATATACATATACAAATAATTCAGTATATATATATATATGTATGTATGTATGCAACTGTAGCAGATCAAGCGACAGCGCTGCCTGATGAATTGACGAATGCAACGCCGACAACAGCAACAACCAAAGCGATAAACGGCTGGTTGTAGCTGGCTGGTATTTGTGGCAGTCGCAGTGGCAGTGGCAGTGGCAGTGACGTAAGGAGACGTCGGAGGTCGTACTCTTCTACTCTCACTCGCGCGGCAGCATTTAAACAGCAGCACACTCTGTCGTTGACCCCGTGCAATGCGATGTGATGTGATGTGATGTATTGATATCGCATGCAATAGTAGGTTTATTGCCCTTGGGGTAGATGATATTCGTACAAACCGAATTCATTCCCGATGACTGTATTAGTTGCATACACAACAATTTGGATGCTTGTATATACACATTTGCACAAACACTCACTACACTCACGCACGTTTATGACATAATTCAGGTTCCTTTTAAATTGCAGTTTAATTTATAACCTCAATGATTTCTTCAATCCATTTTTATGTATACATATATATATATATATATATATGTATGTATTTATACAGATATGTTTATATTTTGCAAAATTTTCCGAAAAACCAACTAATTAAGAGTTGTTATTGTATTGCGTGATTTGCATTATTGCTAAAACGAAAACAAACAAAACGTCGTCTTTCAAACGGCAATACATACATACTTACATACATGCAGACACGCATGCACATATCTACACTCGTTGTATGTGTGCACGTATGTATGTAAGTACCTATGTATGTATACGTACATGCGGTTCACGCGTATGCGCATGTATTCGTATTTGTTCATATGAATCTATAGACTATAGATTATAAAAAGCTCGACTAGAGGTAAATGGCAAATGCATTTCACGCTTCCTCTTGCAATGGCCGTGGCATTCACACAAAATGTGGCGGCGACGCTTTCTAGGCACCGCTCAGGGACTCCGTTCGTTGTTGTACGCGAGCGTGCGAACGACTGAGTGTAGCGGTATCGACGCCGATGACCAACAAACACAACTCAATATATATTCGTTTATTATGAAGGAAAACTCGTGTATTACGCGGTCGCAAATTATGTTATTGTTGTTATATTTGTAGTTAATATGGATAGCGATGGTTATGGTTAAGATAATTGTAATAATGATAATGATGATAATGATGATGATGATGATGATAAAGTTGATCATGTAGCCAACCAGTCGACTGGCTGATCGACTGAACTTTTCAGCACTGCTCAATGCAGTTGCAGCGGATGTTTTGCTGACAGAGAGCTCACAGCGAGCTGCTGGCTTAAAAAACCGACTGAGTGGTGGGTGTCAGTGACACCTTCGCGCAAGCAATAATATTGCGGAAAGTTCAAAATTCGGCGTTACAAAACCTTCTTTCATCGTAATTCGAGAAATTCTGGGAAAATTCAAAACATTACTTATCTTGAAACTTGGATTTTTTGGGGTCTTTTCTCTATGAGATACATACATATGTATGTAGCTCTATGTACATACATTTTGGAATGATTTACTTGAAAACGTCATTAGCGATTTTATCATTAACCCGTCAAAATATATTTCCAGCTACGCGCCGCTCCCCAAGGTCGAATAATAATTTTCTAAAACCAAGTTATTGTGATGGTCTTAGAAAAATGTGTAAGTCCACAAGTCAAATTATTTTAATATTTTTTTATTCGAAATATTTCAATAATTTCACACATGTTCCAATTTAGAATAATGTACAATAAATTAAATTATTTATCGTGGTAGTATAATTTTTAATTTAATCACCTTTATTTTTATTATTTACATATGTATTTTCAACAATGTATCCTTTTTACAAATAAGCGTCACATGAAGGTACCGCGTTTTTATGTTGCTCAATATTGTTTTATCACTTTGTAATTACACACACAAGCCGATAAGAGCCTGGAAGCCTGTTTCATCGAAAATCGTTAATCGTCTATATCGATACCCCCAACGATATTAGATCCGATGAATGGGCTTGCGATTAGTGATTGGTCGTATTATTATTGCATTATAGTATTCGCACGTTAAATTGTCCAACACCGAGTAAATAATCTATAAAAGCGAAACCGAAAAGCGAAAAACGAAATATCCACGGAATCAAATAAACGAATTAATTATACGATGGTCATGCGAATAACAAACTAACCGGAAAACTCGCAAATGTCCGGCAGCTCAACTTTTGCCCGCTAAGCGAATCGAATAAATTTGATTTGCAACAACCGTCTTTTGCCGCAGTCATACGATGACTAAATTCTCGCAGAGCCCCAATACACAGTGACAGTGTGCGCATTTTGCGAAACCCTCAAACAACTACGCCAATAATATGCCAATGCAGTAGCAGCAGTGTGGCGATAACATCGTGAGTGAGTGTTCGTAGCTCTAACAAAACAACATTGCAGGTTGAGATATGTTTGCAAGTAACGTACTTTTAGCAGAATGCATCGCTCGCTCTTTATGTAAGTTCAATACTCATATATGCCCGCTTCTAATATCGTGAGAGATATACGTATGCTCTTCGCCCGAGTAAAACGAGCAGCCAACATTGTATTACACTCACACAATCAAGCTTCAAGTTCATCAACTGAACTTCAAAGCTTTACTGTCAAGCAACCGTGCCTACAGCAATTTGCAGTTACTCGGCGCACCTCGTCATCATCGCCACTTTCAGGTTCAAAAATATTGGCGCCCGAGCTATAGCTTTTTTCGTTTTATACTTTTATACGCTGCATGGAAATGTTAGCTCTCTATATTTTCATTACACACATATTTCTCTTGCAATCTTTTACTCTTTTGCAAATGATGTTCAACCTCAGGCTGATAACTTTTAGCGAAACATTAGAGTTGCAGTGGTTTTCTTGTAAACCGTTAATGTTAATGCAAGGGAATTTTCAAAATAATTCGTTTTAAAGAGTAAGAATTTTCTTTAATTATATTATTATTAGCAAAATATTTCTTCTACAGACAAATAGTGTAAAACAGTAATATTTTTCATAATTATATAAAGCCCTTATTGCATGGCATACCTACGGGGTACAATTTGTTCGTCTTCCAAATTCTATTGATTCGCCTTTACAAAAATAAAAGAGTTTTATTGTTTTAAAAATATTTGCTTAAATTCAGTTATTTAGGACGAATGATATGTGTGAATACCTGAAAGCTCTTTTTCCCTGAATTCCGAATGGATGTGCAATCTTTAAATTGTAAGCCAACTGATTAAATCTTCCGAGGCCACCGACCAAGTAAGGATTATATCTGCTGTATTAGTTTTGGACTTATTTTTATGTAACTATAGATTCAAATATCGGAAAATGAATGAGCTCAGTATGACGAATCAATGTAGTTAGGGTTTTTCTGATATGAAAATAATCGATTCTTTTAAAGATCCATAATTCGTTCGGGGACGACTTAAAACTGCGAGTTCCTCGTTTTCTATGTCGACGAAGACTACAAATCGAAGAAAAAACTTGGCCGTAAGTCATTTAAGCGCCAATTGTTATTTAGTTTTTATCGTTCTTAACAAATTTGTGGTGAGAGTCGTGATATTTAACAAAGGGAGATGAATTATCTATATTATATAAAACACATAATGTTTTAGAAAGTTTCATAAATATTTCCTTCATATGTTCTTATCTCGTCATCATTGTCAAAATATTTTTGCTTCATATAACTCGATCAACTCACACGTTATATGAAAATAAGACGGGAGGAAAACTAAACCCTGGCAAAAGAGCTATACCTGTAATGTCAACTGAGTCTATCTTGAATATACTGGCCAAGCAACACAAGGAATTTATGATGGATCTCTGGAAGGTATTCAACTGCAGCTTCGCACCGGAAATATATGCCATCGTGTTGAGTATCGAAGAAGATTTATTTTCATTTCTTGACGCCGTGAGGAGTAATGCTCGCCTTCTCTTCTCTGCCTGCAAAGGAGGAAAGGCCCGTCGAAAGTGCCCGCTCGGGCAGTGGAGGGGAACAGGCAGGCTCGCCACTGACTGGGACTGCCGGTGTAATGCCTCTAGACGACTCGTTAGCAATGGTAAAGGAAAGGCGTGGGACACCTCGGCGATATGAACGTAGCAAAAGCAGCTCAAGAGGCTAGCCTCTTCTCAAAAGGAGACCCCTAAGAAGTAAATATGCATGTCATCGGAGCAACGTGGCATCCACAAATCTGCTAAACCACATATTTAAAGGTAAGTTTGATATTGGTTAATTTAGGGACAGCCAGACCAAGGACCTGCATAGTCAGCCAAAGAAACTATAATTTCTCTCTTTTAGCAAATCTGTCATCCATGGATGTCACAGCTTTAAAGCCGGTAAATCACCCGCTGTTTCGGGTGCCGTTCTCTCTGCCATTCCTTCACAAAAGGGTGCTGGGGAAGGTAGTCGAACATTCTGTAGAAACAAGATCATATCAACGTAGATAGCACTTCAACCTTTATAAATAGGCGTAGAAAGGCGGTTTCAATTGTATCTATTTGTAACGGTAGGGCGATAAATCTTGTGTCGGATGTAGTCCTCCCAGGAGGTTTCGTTTCATGATCGTGGATACATTCATTTCAAGTCGCAATTCGATGGCTTTTATGTACCAATGTATCGTAACAGGGCGAAAAACAACTGGGACAAATATGTAATAGCCTTGGATCGGTCCCCAATTAAACTCTTAGTACACGAGTGACGGTCGCGATAGCTGAGTGGTTAGCATTGCCAACCAACATCAAAAAGTCATCATGGTAAATCAATTTAAACAAAAAAAGTTAAATTTTCTAACTGCTGTCGCTCCTCGGCAGGGAATGTCCAACAATAAATAAATAAAAGCACTATCAAAAAAAAAAAACTATCAGCTATTCGGAGGCGGCTTAGTATAAACTGTAGGTGCCTCCATTTGTTGGAAGAACATCAAGACGCAAAACTACAAATTGGAGGAGGAGCTCGGCCGAAAAATCGCTTCAGCGGTTACAAAGCGCCAATTATATATACACGAAGAGTTGACTTCCACATCGGAAATCAACGCCATAGTTGAGAATGATACAAAAATGTTTAAAATTTTTATTAAATAGTCATTTTCCGCAGCATAAAACCATGAACCCTCCATGACGTGGCGAACTTTGCTTCAACGCTGAAATAGTGTCGAGAAGTTTTGAAAGCTTAAAATCGTTCAAAGCTGTCGGTATCGATGGGATTTTTCCGAAGCCTGGTAAAGAGAATTACTCTGTACCCAAGTCATATAGGACGATTAGTCTAACATACTTTCTTCTAAAAATACGTCAGGAGTAAATCAGTTGACACCGTTGGTAAATTCATCGCAAAACAATTACAACGCGCCAAGTTTGCAGCTACAGAATATCTGATCACTTGATCGTGGGTATGTAGGTAGAAGGAAAAGCGGAAAACAACAATAAGTAAAAGCGGCACACATGTAGCTTAATGGAATAACCATTGGCTCGTGCTGTGGGCATCTCAAGTTCGAATCCTATTCGAACAAAGATGTCTGGAAAAAGAAGTCTGATGAGGAAAATGTGATGGTTTCCGAAATAGCAGCTATAACTTCTACCGTCCTAAACTATTATTGTAATTCGTTCACTATTTCCAAAAAATATAGATGGTCATAAGAAACACAAAAACAATTTAACAGAAAAATGACTTGAAAACGCATGAAGTATCTTTATGTAAACGAGAGCACACTCTTATAGAATTTATTGACATATAAGGTACTTTTAGGGTGCTTCACTGATCGCAATTGCCTCATTTGGAATTAACCACATTTTACTTGCCTGGTAGAACCATATGTTGAGCAATGTTGCATATTGCACTCAACAAAGGTCATTCTGTCTCCACTACTGAGGGCCACCTTGATAAATCAAACGTTCACTTCAAACGTTCACAGCTTTAAGGCAGTATGTTATACGTATGATTTTGTCATCATTTCTTCTGGCAATAAAAGACATTTTTGTAAACAGGGAAAAAATCTCACGTTTGACCTTACTAGAAAGACGAAATTTTATTTTTTCAACTCACCACCTTTGAGGGTTTAACATTATAATTCCCTCCAACTCTGTTAATTATTTTGATGTAATACTTTCTAAGAAACTTAGCAGCAGAGAACGTGTTGAATGTAGGGCAAATAAAATCCTCCTCATTTGAAAAAAACCTGCAGAAGAGCTACTGCACCAAAATGGGGGGCTACGACCTTAGTGTCGTGGGCGATATTAAACGCTTGATACTGCTGCAACGTAGTCAGGTACTTGTTATATCAGGCGCCATGAGAACTACCTTAACAAAGGTCTTAGAAATTTCCTTGATATGAGCCAAATTGGTAACCGCTTTAATAGGGAAACATATTCTATCAAGTTTTAGTAGACGGTGAACTTCAATTAATAAGCTATGTAAAGTAGAATCGGCGATGTGTAGAGCTTGCACTGGTGGCGACGAAACGCTGGAGATACAATCTTTGCGAGCGTTCGGCCTTGAGGAGATTAAGACGTCACATTTTCCACGATGCTCCCAACTCAAACCTTCGTGGGATAAACTTGAAGAATTTATAAGGTCTAACGAACTTCTTGCCTAGTTGGGATACACGGCGGAGTACAAGGGGCCTGCACAATGACTTACCTGCGGACGCTTTAGGCAACTTATTCAAGATGACAGTGAGCACATCCGTTGAACACAAATTAATGGCAACTAAAATGCTTGCGGCCACGATAGCCGAATGTCCGACCAGCACCCAAAATGATGAGTGTCAAAACCTACGAGTGTATTTCTTCTTATTCTCCGGTCGTTCGGAAGCGGCTCAGAATAACCTGTATATCCCTACATTTATTGGAAGACATCAAGACGAATAGCATATATTGGAGGAAGAGCTCGGCTGAAATTCGCTTTAGGGGTTACAAAGCGCCAATTACAATATTAATAAAATTAGCTAACATTACGTATGTTCTCTTTACATTTATCATCAATTCTCGCTCGCTGGCACAAAGGGACAAGTTTTTTGGCCTACCAGGAATCTCGTACCTGTGTACTGCCGATAGCGCTCTCCAACCGATCGTTTAGCCAGCCCGCGTCACGCACAACCGGTGCAGCGCCGGGGTATCTTTTGAGTGTACCCTTATACACCCTCCACAGGACAGTCTGTGTCTCTTTGGTATATCAGATGTGGAGCATGAGTGTGAGTGTAGGTGCGTATTCTCTTCAAGTTCTTAGAGCCGCGTGTTTCCCTGTGCTTCTACCAGAGCGGTGCAGAGTGACCTACGTCACTGATCCCTGCGTCCAGACGTCGAAGCGAAACCTGTTCCAGTTCCTCAGATAGGAATTCGTGATGATCGGGCATTTGGAAAGTCTTTGTCATCATCATCGGTTTGGGACTCGGGTTAGCCATCATCGGGTGTTGCAGTTTCACTATCTATCACACTATCAGTCTCCAGTATCATCGGTCATCAGATTATCCCCTTGGTTCCTGCTTTTGGAACAACGACCTTGAACTTTTTCGTACTCACTCAGTTCGGCATCTTTCTTTTTTGCAGCAGATGGATAGTAATATGTACAGATGTATATCATTAGCTAAATGGAGTCTAGATCCTCCGAACTCCTCCTTCAATTCAAAGTTGAGCGTCTTGATGACTTTCCTACTTTAGCCTAAGTCTCCTTTGAACGGCTGATAATTCTTGCTTGTAGGTTTTACTTGTTCTTAAATAGTTAAAACACAATTCTTAAGTGGAAATGTTTCTCGGTCATAATATTTATTACGTTAATTTCATATGTGCATTCCAAAACATTATACTTAAAGTCTATCTAAATGGTGTGTTAAATTTTTTAATTTCATTTGCTTAATTTAGCTATGGTACTTTTCTCTTGAGTAGGTGGATTGGTGGAGTTATTAAGCAAAGCGGTGAGGGTGGCGTGTGATGAACTCAATGTGCTAGGCTTTACTAGTGCGCTTATATCGCTGGAGCTGGTGGCATGATTGCTGCTTCCCAGCACATTAGTATTACTGGCGAAAGATGTTTCTGCCGTTGTAGCTGAACAAACTATATTCATATTAGAAGAACTTATTTCTCTAATATTAATATTGTTGTTCTGCGTAGCTACTCCCTGCAGCAAAGCATTTCGTAGGTGGCTGTTTCCCTGTGGACCAGTAGTTACTGAAAATGAGTTTGTAATCAAACCGCGGGATTTTATATTCAAGTTTACAAAGAACTGTTTAATTTTCTGCACCATATATTCTGGTAGTGTAAACGAATTCATAATATTCAGATCTATATTTGTTTTTGCTCGATATATTTCATGCGTTTGTTTCAATCGACACACTTCGTCGTATATCAGAAACAGTATACGAGAATCACGGTTTTGTACAGGTAGTAAGTTTTGAGAACATAACCACTCCCGATCTTCATTATCAGGTAAATAACGTATTAATTCCGGATGCTTGCCAGTGAGACGCTCTTTTCCATCAGTTCCAAAACCAAAAGCTTGGTTGGCTTGCACATCCAATACAAATTTAGTTGTTGTTGAGATATGTGCTGTATTCCAAAATATTTGTCTGCGAATGGGGGTGGCAGCAGCCACCGTCTGTATTTGTCTCTGCAACGGTAACTGAGCTGTAGCAGTAGAATTTACAAAAGTGTTCATATTTGAAGAGCACTCAGTAATACTAATAGCAGTACTAGGAGCTATGGCTTGCACATGCTGTTGTGCACTGCTGGTCCTTAATTTTTTTGTAGGCAGCTCACTTAGTTCAACCGGCTTTGCTAGTGGGCGTCTAACAGCGAATCGTAAACTGTTTGCCTCTCCATAACCAAAATTCTGTAAAATATATGGTGCTTTCGCATTTTCGAGTAGTGCACATGTCATCTTTTGCAACTAAAATATTTTATAATATAGGTAAAGGTATCTCATACATGATAAAAAAAAATACTTACAACTTCCTCGGATACTATATTTTGCCCCAAATTCTCCTTTATGTTCTTTAAAGCTGGTTTAAAATATGTCTGAAGGTGCAATTTAAATTTTAATAATAAATATTTTATAAACTAAATTCATATGTAAATATAAATACATATGCATGTACATATGTACATACAAAAGGATGTAAATAGGTACTTAAACTAAGAATTAAGTTTGACTTGCCTCCATATATTGCTTAATAATGACATCTATTTCATGATTGAAAGACTTTTGAATACTAATCCGTAGCAATTCGAGAGAACGGACTGCTGATTCTGCAGTGGTACCCGTACCACTAACCTGTACCTGGCAGCTTAAACGCTGTCGTAATCTCTGTAGCAGTGTCTCAGACATATGAATTGTAGTCACATATTTCTTAAAATATAGTTAATCATGTACAAATATTTTGAGCTTCAAATAATTTAATTTACCATAGAATCGTGCGAATTTATTTTAGTGACATTCAAAGATGTAACGTTATTTGCAGCAACTCGAGCTATGGTTGGCATTTGTTGTACTGTTGAAAGTGAAGACTGTACTTCTAATTTTTCGTGAGGACTTGCTACACTTGTAGCCATAGAATGTGTAGTTTGATTAGAACAATTAGAGTCATCAGAAGAAGACTGAAGACCAATTGGTGATCGATTAGCTTCTGTTGAAGAAGCGGAAGATGAACCTCCATCGCTTAATATTTTCCAATTGCGCTGAATTACCATACTTGCACCAAATTGATGTGCAAGATTTAAATTTACTCTTAAAATATTGGCAGATGCTGTATGATGGGAGATTGTTTCAACACTAACCAGATTCGCGAAATACTGAAGTTTTTTATTAATGCTATGCAGTTTCCAGCTCGCCTTTCTCATTTGTGTATGTTATTATTCCAGGGCTCACTGCGCACGTGCAAAGAAACAACATTTCACCCCTAAATTACCTTCCGTTCTTAATAACTTTTGCAAACGAAAAATCAGATTTTATAAATATTATGTAAATATATTTGTCAACCTCTTAATCACATAAGAAACGTTCAACTGGCTTATCAATTTCTAATATACATTCAGTGCTTAATAAATCATTATTAGCTGTTTCGCCAGGTTGTTCTCTCTCAGTATCACACGATTCTAAAATTTCCATTTCCCCGGGATTATAGCTTTTCCGCCTCTGTTTCCTTCTTATATTAGCTAGTTTCTCATCAAACTCTTCCATGAAAGAGATAGGCTCAATATAATTACTTGGTTTTTCGTAACTTTGGTTAACAGGTATTCCAAGAACATCAGGTATCATAAATGTAAAAAGCCAGCCAACTAATGGAGTGCTGCCGCAAGTGTAACTTGATTCCTTATGATAGAATAACCAACCGTCAAGTTCCGGATTGTTGTCAGGCCAAAAGGGATAGCGTTGTAACGCCTCTGTAACATTAGCAATTCTTTCAGCGTCAAATCGCTCTAGGAATTTCAGCGGTTTTTCATTTAATACGCTATAATCATGAAGATCCGGACACTCGTCAAACTTTGAACGCAACCAAAAGAACCGAAACTGTGCTTCACAATGTACAAGCTCTTGATTCCCATAAACGATTGCGTCCAATACGTAAAACGCATTTTTGTCGTCTGAGAAAATGCAATCAAGTATTGTGCACATTTTATTACTACGCGGTCCATTGTCACCTGGCAATAGTGTACGAAATGTCATACGTCGTCGTCCTGACTTAGTATACATCTCTGTTCGACCATTTTCAGCGACAATTAAGCAACGTTGTCCCTTTGGACAAGGGACCATCACCCAGTCACATAAATTCTCGGGACTTTCCCGCAACCATTCAGACAGTTGCACCGAATATGTGGAGCCATATGCATCTTGTAACTGCTTGGAATTTATTTTACTGCTTTCGATAACTTTATATGTTAATATATCTCTTTGTGAATCTTGTAATATCATACGTCTTCGCTTTTGCTCCTCTAGCAATCTGCACCGCCTCTCTTCTTGTAACTCAATTTTACATTTCCCACTCTGCTTATATAAATCACGAAACATTTTGCGCAGCTTTAGAAGTAAAAAAGTGAAGAACAAAAATTGTCAAGATTTTATTTAAAATTTAATAAAAAGAAAATGCCGCATTTGTAGAAATCAATGATAACTTCAAATAAATTGTAGCTGACATAAAACCAAAGATAAAACTATTCCATTCATCTATTATCTCAATTTGTTACCAGCACAAACCAAATCAGCTGTAAGTAACGCGGAGCTTACACTGGGAAACTCTGCTCATTTCTCTATTTCTTCATTTTATTTTAGACGAATAGAAACTTTCTGCGGATGTAGACAAACAAATGTAAAAAAAAAAATTTTTTAAATTATACCAAATGCCCACAAGCATTTTGCGGCTTCTGCATTTTTTAAATATTGCGGCGAAAAGGCCAAATACTAATTAATGACAAATTGAAAGGAGATGTAGATAACTGAGTATGAGCAATTGTTCAGGTATATAAAAGAGCGGCCAACACAGTGAGCTATTCCTCAATTACAAAGTAAACTCATTCGTGACAAAACCATTGAGAAGTGAAAATAGTACAATTTGAAAGTTATAATATAACTCGCGCATAGTTAAGCGAATTGTGATTTATTGAGTTATAAATAGATGTTGATTGAATTCTTGAACTGTACAATAGATTTGGTCACTTTTATTTCACATTCCAGTGAATCGAATTGAACGGCGTTCATAAGTTTTGCTAACTTTAGTCACGGTTCACTGACACTCATCCCGTAGAGACCAGATCGCGCAATGCAGAAATGTTGAACGATTTATAGTAGATAGGCAGACAAGGATTTGCTTGACAAGCACGACGGTTGTGCTCAAGATATCGACACAAAGTCAATGTTGATCTCAAACTGAACTAAGACATGCTGAACAAACGGAACCGGATTCTAGCAGTCCATAAAAAAATATTGGCTTCATTGCATGCCCGACAATTGGGAGCTAAGTGTGCTCTGGATAATTCACACAAGGACGATCCCATCACCTGCGACAATTACCGTAGTATATGACTCCTTAATGTCACATATAAGGTCATATCGAGCATATTGTGTGAAAGACTGAGTCCCACCGTCACCAAAATGATTAGACTTTAACAGTGTGGCTTTAGAACTAGTAAACCAACCATTGACCAGATGGAAAATACTGTGAAAAGAAAATTGTTGAACATCACCTCTTTGTCGGTTTTAAAGCATCCTTCGACAATACGAAAAGGAACTGCCTCTACGCCGCTATGACTGAATTTGGAACTCCCGCAAAACTTATACGGTTATGTAAACTGACGTTAAGCAACACCAAAACTTCGTGAGGGCCTCTCCGAACCGTTTGATACCGAACGAAGTTTCAGACAGGGTGATTCTTTATCGTGTGACTTTATTAATTTATTGCTGGATAAAATAATACGAACTGCGAAGCCGAATAGAGAAGGTACAATCTTCCTTAGCCGCTGGCTTAACCAGACGATATTATTTGCATCAACAACCGCACTGTGAGTTCTGCTTTCTCAAGGCTAGATAAAAAAGCGAAGTATATGGAAATTGTAATGAACGAGGGCATAAACAGGGTCGTCAAATAAACAGTCATCGCATTCGCGACTCGCGTCGATAACTTTGTAGTCGTAAATTACTTCGCCTATTTCGAAACCAGCATTAACATCATCAACACTATCAGCCTGGAAATCCAACGCAGAATCACTTTTGCCAACAACACCAACACCTAGATATTCTTCATTGCTTTTCTACGGGACGTTCATAGCAACCGGTTGCGAATTATCGCAAGGTGGTCAGAACTCAATGCTTAGTAGTTTTAAAAATGAATAAATACTTAAAAGTTTTATTACTAATTGATTCTTTGTAGATATTTCTTTTATTTCACATATATCATTAAAATATGTGTAGCGAATATTGAAAATCGTTATAATACAGTAGAGAATCTCGCCACTGATTCCAACTTGCCCATGTTTTGAAATGTTGGGCCAATTTTATGCGAAATTGTTTCGATTATTTTCCATAAATTCAAAATAGTTGAAGAGAATGGTGTGTTAAATTTTGTTGCGAAAATGCGAGGCGAATGTCAGATGAAAGAGAGAAGACGATAACTAGTACATTCTAAACGAGAACCTTCGATAGCGAACATCTCGAGTATTCTACACCTTCGTCTACGACTAGCCGACTGCTATATAAGGGCGACACTCAGCTGCCAAGTTAAGTTAGTTACAAAGTGAGCTCGTTGGCGTTAACATCTTAATTGTGAAAGTTGATGCTAGTGATTGTAAATAGTAAAGTGCATTGTAATTGAATGGTGTATTACTTAGTAAATAAAGGACATTAAATAAATTCTTTGTAACGAAAGAAACTGCAAATTAAGTTGGCGAGTTTTATTTAACAATCCAGAGATCGTACCCGAAGGGTTCAGAAAATCATCGAGGTTGATTTAGAAAAATCGTAACAATATGCTGAATTTTTTAAATTGCTCAATTTTGTAATTTAGTTTTGTTGTAAAGAATTTCATCGCACTGTGTCTTAATCATAGATTTTCAATGTCGATGAAGTTGTGCTTAGGTAAGCGAAGTTTTTGACCGTCTCTCTACGCGAAAATTAAACTACGATGAAAAATGCTGAAGCACATTGAACTTTCGTCTAGTTTTGCTTGAGTAGGGCGGATATATAGTAAGCGCGTGTATCGAACAGAACCTTCTAGAGATGCAAGCCCGTTGTATATAAGAGCTGCGGCTAACTTACCAGCATATTCAATTGATAAAACGTTTACAGCCGACTTAACAACATTGTCTCATTCGTTTCTTTATTTGCTGTTTGGCGCCAGTAAATATATAAATTTAGTACAGCCAAGTCCTTCTCTGCCTGGTCTTTCCTTGCATCGAAAACTTTCAAAGGAGGAATATTCTTATCCATCTGGACCACATGCTTCTTGACTCGTCTGCGATATTCGCCGTTGTCAACTCTTAGATGACCGAATACTCCTAACGCCGGCTCTACAGATACTGTCATTGTACATTCTTCTGCACCATATGGCAGGACGGGGATGATAACGGGCATGTAGAGTTTGGTGTTCGTTCGCCGGGAGAGGACTTTGCTCTTTCTCTACTCAGTCCAAAGTAGCACCTGTTGGCAAGAGTTATTCTGCGCTGGATTTCGAAGCTGACGTTATTATTGGTGTTGATGCTGCTTCCGAGACAGACAAAGTTATGTACCACCTCAAAGTTATGAGGAAAAAAATATCAATATCATCGGCGTTCACTCTTATAGAAGATTGTGCCTTCTCTATGCAGCTCTGCAGCTCTTATTATTTTCTCCAGTAATAAGTAAAAAAGTTAAACAACAAGGAATTATCCTATTCGAAACCTCGTTTGGTATCGAACGGTTCGGAGAGGTCCTTCCCGATCCTGACGGAGCTTTTAGTGTTGCTTAACGTCATTTCATCTCGAATTATAAATTTTGCGGGGATACCAAATTCAGACATAGCGGCTTAGAGGCAGCTCCTATTCGCGCTGTCGAAGGCTGCTTTAAATTCGACGAAGAGGTTGTGGGTGTCGTTCCTCTTTTCACAAGTATTTTAAAAGATTTGGTGCATGGAGAATATCTGGTCAATGATTGGCTTACCAGGTCTAAAGCCCCACTGATAAGGTAATGGAACGTCTTTTCCATCGCCATCGGTTGGGGTTTCGGGTTCATCCTTTCCGGATACTTCAATTTCTTCAATGCTATTCAGCAGGCTGTGGAAGTAAACCCTGCATAAATTCAATATGCTCTGGGTATCGGTGGCTAGATCACCTCTTTGTGTACTACAAGAGTCTGCTCCGGTCTTGAAACCTTCTGTAAGTCGTATCTTTTCATAGAATTTTCGAGTATTACCCTTGTCGGCCAGCTTCTCAAACTCTTTAAGCTCACGCATATCGGCCTCTTTATTCTTTTGTCTGCAGATGCGTCTTGCTTTGAGATGGACAGTCTTTCCACTGCGACATGGTAGTCCTCATAAAGCTGTTTTTGTGACCTATGCGAAATCCAATAGTTTCGTTTGCAGCTGTACGTAGAGGGCATGAAATGTCGTCCCATAGGTATCGTTTACCGAGTTGCTGATGACTGCTCACAGAGAGCAGAAGTGCAAGTCGAGTGGAAAATCGTTCGGCAGTCGGTTGTGATTGCAGCTTTTCGACGTCGAACTTTCCGTATGTTTGTTGATGGGCGTTCTTCGATACACCGAGGCAGGCACATGTGTATCTTCGCTGCAACAAGATAGTGGCCCGAGTCGATGTTGGGTCCTCGGAGTATACGCACGTCAAGAACACTGGAGACATGTGCTCCGTATATCCCAACATGATCGATCTGGTTTTGTGTTTTTTTTCAGTGGGCAGCCAAGTAGCATAATATATTTTTTTTGTGCTGGAATCTAGTACTACAGACAACCATATTTCAGGAAACGGCGAAGTCGATCAGCCTCAACCCATTATTGGATGTTTCGTTGTGAAGGCTAAATACCTTCTTTGGCCACCTTGGCATTAAAATCACCAATCATGATTTTCACATCGTGTAAAATTATTGATGTCTACTGCTCCAAAATAAGGCGGCTGGTGGTGTCCTCGGCTTGATGGTGGTTTGACAGGTTTACGTTTATTTAAAAAGAGTGAAATTTTTACTACAAATTGAAAAAAGAGACCGTTTTTGAATACTGTTTTGATAAAATCCTGTTAAAAGTTTCAGAAGTCGTTTCTACATAACATCCGAGTACAAAGCTAAATTTTTATCTGAAATACAGGTACGAATCCGCAAATTTATAGAATTGACCCAAAATGGTTGTAGCTAACAAATTGCAATATATATATTATAGTACGTCTTGAAAATGGACAAATTATTTAAAAATTTCCTCAAGTTTAAAAACTGTGCCTGTTGTGACATTAACGACATATTCTGACTCCTGCAGTGCCAGCTTTCTCTCTCAAATTATGCAATAGTCGGTAAGTTGACGTCTACTACGAACGTACCCAAAGGGAATACATGACGCCGGGCTCCATAAGAGAATTTATCAAGAACTTGTCTGTACCATCTGAGGTCCAAATGTCGCAGTCAAGACCCAAGGCACGCACCCACCTGGGCGATTTGATTTTTTCCATAAAACTCAATCAGCTGATTGCTCACTATTATGCAAGATATTGACCTTTATAAACATATTTTCTTCCAGTCGGGTGGGACATCTGAGAGCTATGTAAAATTCCTAGTTGGGCTATATAACTGAAAAAAGTTTCGATCGTCTACAACGCACGTTGCAAGAGTGAGTCGCATTTTCAGACAGAAAAAGAGATATACCGAAAAACCTGATTATGACAATTTAAAAAGTTGTCCCTGGTGCTCAAGATATACGGAGTTTATGAATTAATCTGCGCAATTTTTCGCTTACACGATTACAGACGAATTAACAACAGTTTTTTTTGCTGTTTTGCGCCAATCGGAAATACCAAGAGCAGCTAGGTTCTTCTTCGCCTTATCTTTTCTACGGACTGGAGGTTGTGCTGTATCGAAAACTTTCAAAGCTGTATTCCCCTCCATTCGGACCGCTTGAGCTATGACAATGTCATGGTTTATCTCTTACAGCTCATTTCATCAGCTGCGGTACTCAAGGACCATAAATCTTACGCTTTTCTCTTAAAAACTTGTAACACCAACTAATCAGATGTTGTCGTTTTCCATACCTACTCACCACAGAGCAGGACGGGATTGATAATTAAAGAGCTAGGCCTTTGTTCGTGAGGAGAGGGCTATTATTTCGTTATTAATCTTGACTGACCTTTTGATTTACGGAGATCCATAAATCAAACATAGCGGCGGGGAGGCAGTTTCTTTTCGCTACGCTGAAAAGATCCAAGCAATTTTGGATAAGTCGAAGCACACTTAAGATCTGACCACTTCAATAGCAAGCTTATAGATTTCTATCATTTGGTGTACTTAACCATGTACGCTTATATGCAGTAAACAGTGATGTAATAAAATTGAATTGATTATTATTTAAGTGGCATAAGCTAGACTTACAAGATTCTCCATCCCTTTTCATATGGATTTCACATTCCGAGCTCCTCCGAGAGTCTCAAGACTTTAGCTGTAAACTCCAGTGTAACATTTGCAAACAACTTTATCAACTCTTGAGCATCCTCCTCCATCTACCCCCAAAGTTTAGACAACGAGGTTCTAAAATGGGTAACAACTGCTTACAGTGTGACTTAACTTAGTGTGATAACTTAGTGGTATTGATAAATTTGGTCTCAATAACAGCGTCGTTAGTTCAGCTTTCTCCAGACTAGAGCGAAGTGAGGTGAGTCTTCTCATCACCACATCACTTTTCGCAGTCAAGACTTTGAAGTCGTTGATAAACAAGGGAAAAACTACTTGGCTTCAAGGTATTTCCAATTATCGCTAAATATCGAAAGGAAGAGACGATGGGCGCTGTAGAATTTGGCTGTACTCGTGTTAGCGTTGTCTATTCGAATGAAAAGAGGAGGAGTTCAATGCGTTTTTAGCATGCTGTCCAGGAGCTTAACAATTTCCAGCAAGATTATCCATGTACATTCACCTGTTGATAGCAATGATATTCGGTGAAACGATTAAGTTTTAGGGCCTGAATATCATACATCATAGATGAATTGTGTATACAAATATTAATAGATTGCAGCGTTGTAAGAAAAATATATTAAAATTATTGAGGAAAATTTTGATTTAAGCAGATATGAATGTATTTATGTACGAGTACATTTTTATTCAGATATTGTGTATGCATGAATGTTAATACTATTGTCGTTCGCAATGCAGAAAGTAAAAACTAACAGTAAGGGAACTCGAGAAACTCAAATTATAGACGCTTCTTAGTTCGTTTGCAATCCACTATACGCCAGCGGAGAAATGACAAAAAAGATACACAGGCATCTATCAAGAGAAACGCTGTGGAACATTCATGTGCCAGCCTTTATACCACAGCATGTATTTGTGGATGAATGTATATTCATATGTGGCATCAAGTTGGGTATGCATGGATGTGTGTGTTTCGTATAGGCAGAGGAACAATCAGACAGGCCGCTCTAAAGAATTTACAGCGTTTTCCACAGCAACAACAACAAAAACACTTCCATTTATAAAATAAATGTGAAAGCACTGAAACCACTGGATGTTAATGCAATTGTTGGAAAATCTTTATAAAGAATAAAATATTCTATGTAGTGGTGAGTATTCAAGCGTGTGTGACGTTAGTGGTTTGAAATACATATTTTCTTTTGATATTTTGGAGCGGGTGCCGAAGCATTCGTTGCCAGTTGGAGGACGATCGTTGAGGAAACTCATTCACGGCAAACTAAATATTAATAAAATATTTTCCGATTTGTAAACAGTGCATATAAGTGAAGATGAGTTCAATAGTGAGTTATGATATTTGTTGAATAAAATTATTTCATTTCAAAAGTTGCACATCCTTCTGACTTTACGCTTTACATTTTATTCTAGGACGAAGACCTGACGCCTGAACAAATCGCTGGTGGGTGCATTTTATTCAAATTCACGCTGTACTTATTTTAATTATAATTGTTTTACTTTCCAGTTCTCCAGAAAGCTTTTAATAGCTTCGACCACCAAAAAACTGGCAGCATACCAACAGAAATGGTTGCTGATATCCTACGATTGATGGGTCAACCGTTTGATAAGAAGATTTTGGAGGAGCTTATAGAAGAAGTCGATGAAGATAGTAAGTAAACTTTTTATGGAAATCGAGGGTTGAGGATTAGAGTAGTACTCACATTATGTTTGAAATTTACTAAATTTTGTCCTGTGAGGCCACAATACGATGAAAGGAAAACTGGCCCAAATCTTTGTTATCATGTTCCTTGGGGTTTGATGGATTAGTTTTGAGAATTAGGCGACCAGGTCCGCAAATCTGCTATTATTTTATTGTATTTCAAGATATACAAATAAATATGACCAAATGTACAATTAGGAGATACATAATTTGGTACGTAGATTCCTGAGTAAAGCGAGAAGAAACTAACTTCTAAATTAACTCTTATTATAGGCAAATGCAGTTAAAGTCAAAGTTGTTGCCATAATTAAATGCGAAAAGAGACTAGTTCCTATGGTATAAGGTGAACATGCTACACTCAGCACTGAAGCTTTGAAGTAATAAAAAATTCTTAAAAGATATGTACCTACGAACGTAGATATATTTAGTCCCACCTCTTCGGTGTCTTTGTGCTATTTTACTATGCGTTAACCAATTCGATTCGATCGGCAAAGCTTTACAATTATAAATTAAAAATTAAGTTTTAAATTTAATTATTTTTAAGTTATAATAAATAATCATGGGTTTATAAATGTTTACAATATCTGCTCCTTTTTTCAGAGTCCGGTCGCCTGGAATTCGAAGAGTTCGTGCAATTGGCTGCTAAATTTATTGTAGAGGAAGACGCGGAAGCTATGCAGAAGGAGCTCCGTGAAGCATTCCGTCTGTATGATAAGCAAGGCAACGGCTTCATTCCTACAACTTGTCTAAAGGAAATCCTTAAGGAGTTGGATGATCAATTGACTGAAGCTGAACTCGATATCATGATCGAGGAAATCGATTCCGATGGTTCTGGCACCGTGGACTTTGATGGTAAATATAAATATAAATATAATATTATATAAAAAAGTTCAGCTAGGTGAAAGTGTATATAATCACATGCATGTATGTGTGTACATATCATAAATATAGTAAATATAACGATATATTATATTACTTCCAATAAAGAATGTATATATGTACGTAGGTAAGCATGGAGGTATTTGAGGCTATTATTAGTTTTTTTATGAGCGACACTTTTTATTGCCGCAAAGTTATGAATGTTTCTATCATACGTGTATAACAAAGGTAGCCAACGGTAAACAGCTTTGTGTGCGCGGGTGTTTTCCGTTTATTTATTTTTGAATGCGTTAATTGGCGAAAAGAAATCTCCTTGCTTGCCTTGCCTCGCTTAGTTTTTATGTGACAGATTAAAAAAAAAATAGAAAGTCTTTTTTCGACTTCTACTAAATTTTATGGCACACAGGCTAGAAGATGTTAGCTGGTTATGCATGTACATACATACATACGTATTGATATACGAGGGTTCTTTGTTCATACCCTCCAAGCATTTGTAACTTGTTGCTCCATTTTGGGGATACTCCTCTGTAAACTAGCTTTAATGCTGTTTTTTTGTAAAAGATTATCGATGCATAACATTTATATTTCTCTTTTTCTTTTTTTGCAGAGTTCATGGAAATGATGACAGGAGAATAATTTTCACAACCAAAATTATTTGTTTTAATTACACTTGTTTGTCTGAGAGATAGAGTATCAGCTGTTAAATAAAGACCAGCTCGACAGATTTATCCATACATACATGTGAAGTGCATGTCTCTTCAATTTAACGTTTTTTATACATTTTATGTTCAGGATGTCCGTAATGTTTGTTAATAATAAATCAAAGAGATATAATAAAAATTTCGGTTTGCTCTAATAACTATGTATATAGACTCATTTTTCTTCAACTGTGAATGCAAAGTAAAAAAATGCGTAGAGGAAAACAGATAGAGGGTGGTGTTAAAAACTTAATGATTAAACATTTTCAAGAAGGAAAATCTTCAAGATATAGGAAAAAGTCTTGATAACCCCTAAGCGAGTGTGCAAACTATTGTTCGAAAGTAAAAACCTACGAATTTGTTGGAAATAGGCGAAGATCTAGACGTCCAAGGAAGCTATCCTAGCGAGATGTTAGTTTTATCACAAAGAAAGTGGCAAAAAACCTAAAATAAGTGCTCCAAAGATAGCCGACAGCATCGATAAAATATTGGGCAAAAACTATAGCAAGAGCTTTACGGGGAGATAGCTGAGCAAATAATAAGCAAATCTGTCTTTAATTTGCAAATAAATACAAGGATATGGATGAATTCTTTTGGAGGAGACTCCTGTTTAGCGTAAACTAATGATAGCTTATCAAACCCGAAATTTAATTCAAACCGTTAAGTATGGTGAGGGTAAGGTCAAGGTTTTATGAACGATTGGAGCAACTGGCGTAGGACATTTAACATTTATCGATGGAATAATGAGCACATATGTTTACAAAAGTACTTTGGATCAACATAGGCAGTCTTCCATGGGTTCCTTGGGTCTCGGAAGTTCGTAGATATTTCACCAAGACAACGGACCATACCACACAGCGGGTTTGGGTAAGAATGACTATTGTATTATGCTCCTTGTCAGCTTTATAGTCCGCCGCAATCATGAGACTTGAACCCCAATGAGCAAATTTAGGAGTTATTGGCAAGAAAAATTGATATGCTGGCTTGAACCAGTAAATAAGCCTTGGAAGAATATTTGAAATTGCGCCTTCGGTAAAAGAAAATTTGGTTATATCTAAACTCCTTTATTTCTAGTTTAATTTAGTCCAAATATGAAATAATATGTACTGTATTTAAACTTTTACATTTTTATTATTTACGTGATATTTTTTGGATTGCATTGTTGATTAATTATCTACTTTAAATAAACTGCATTCTTACATTTACTCTAAAATGCTTAGTTATAATAAAAAGTGGAGTTTTATAGGTGTATTTAAAGTTTTGTCTTTGGCTATATATCGAAGCTGATATCTTTTTATATATATAGATATTTACAACGATGCCGTTGAATACGTGAATTCCTTGACTACTTCGAAAATATAACGGCCCGACATAACGTGAGAATTAAGGCTGCAACTACCCATTTTACTTACCATCCGTCCATAAAAGGCGACGTCAAAAGCAAGACACATACACAATTGTTGACGCCGCTGAGAGCGGCGAAATGTTACCAGCTGCCAGTGTGTTTGCACACTTCTGAATTTCATAATTTATGTGTTCGAATATAAACGGCAAACAAATATACATGATCTATATGGTAGCAAATAATTATTGTAGTTACTCATTTAGTTTTTATTTCTTTTGAAAAAAAAACTACGCATTATCTTCGATTATTTAATATTACATTAAAAAAGCCTATACTGGTAACCTTGTATAGCAACGAGAAATGAGCCGAGCCGGTTTTACGGTTAGTTTCTGCGGGACAATCGTCATGGGCAAGCGGGGACAACTTTTTGTTTACATGGCGCTCTCATAAGATAGATTGCTATGGATGGAAGGTACGTGAGTTGGGTAGTTGCAGCATAAGTCGCCGCCCCTATTCGTTGACTGCATGTATTTCGTTTCTTTCTCCTTTACCGCAAGACTGCCCTTTGCCTTTTCAATAGCAGGAAATTCAGCAGTAACATCTCGCTTACAACGTGCGATGATGTCAGCAACACCGCATAAGTAAGAAGCCGGACACCTTTGTAGAAAAGAAAGAAATTATAGTGATACTTTTGATGTTCTAGGCCTCATAGAAAAGACAAACTTCGAATAAATACGAACTCTGAAATATTGTACTGATCTACAAGTAACAAAACTCTTATCTTTCAAACACCCCAGTTCTTTTTTACTCACACATATTTAACTGAACGCTGTGTGAAGGTAAGAAATTCCAAAGGAATAGAATGCAATGAAGAACCGAATATGGGGATAGGATCCAATCGCAAGCACGAACGCGGGTTGCTTAAGTGGAAACTTAGCTACGTTTCCTTGAATTTTGAACAAAAAACTCTAGTTTTCGTTAAGGAATTATGAAGAAGCTCCGTGAGCCTCCGTGGAAGGTTGGTATGGATCCACTTTATAGTACGGACTTCGCAACAAGTGTTGCTGTGTATGGCGAATAATTTGGCTTGAAGAAGAATTGATTTCAGTAGAAGTCTGTAAAAATCGATTGTTTCAATTTTTTGCCGTAGGGACAAGAGTTTCCATAAGAGAGGCGAGGTTTGACTTTTGCCGTTGACGCGCAGGTGCCTGCAAGTGTCATACTCAAACGTTGTAAAATCTCCCTCTTATTATATTCTATATCAGTACATACATAAAAATGCACATATGTATGTAAATTAAGGTGGCCCTTAGTTGCATGGTGGAAGGAAAAGGCGTTTCTATGCTCTGACTAACCCCTTAGAAATGGGCGAATATCCAAAAAACTATATTATACACAATTTAAGGCCAATTAAGAAAGATTTACAGGTGGCTCACGGCGACCAAAATCATACAAAATTTAAGACTTTTACCTTTTTCATAATCTAGCTCTCCATATTAGAATCTCTTTATTCTTAGTATGTGTATGTATATTCTACAGATGTTTGTCTTTCAAAAAAAAAAAAAAACTATTGTTAAATGATTCAAATCAGGCGAATAATAATACAGTTATAAAGAAGTAAACATCAAATACGGTACGAGTGCCTCAAGCACATATTTACATACATATCGTGAATGTACGTACTGAGTGTTATTGTTAGTGTTTTTATTATTGAAGTAAGAATTTTTGTAATAAAAATAATAAATATTGTGTATAAAATATGAATTAAAATTTTATTGTTAGGAGCTGTCAAGGATTATTTATTATGTCACTCCAATTTCTTTCTATAATCAATGGCGACTTAAAGCAAATATTGCTGTTCTTCGTCATTATTTGTTAAGATTTCATTCTAGAAAATTTACATCCAGAAATTGAGAAGAAATATCACATCGATAAAAAATTATGGAGTTCTTTTTCAATTAATTTATTGATTTCACTGGGCTTTACAAATAAACGTTTTACACTTTCCATATTGTCAATGTTTATAATTTTTTTCACTATATTAAATTTCTCAGTAATAGAATGGCATTCATCGGATAAGTGCCAAAGGTGGTTGCGAATATTTATTGCAATGTCGGAACTTTTTATTTGGTGGCTCTGTGTTCTCGAGCTCCTTTAATAAACGTTATGTTGTGATGAGGTGCTTTTGGCTTCGAGATCCAACGTGCATGATGAGTAGGTTCCGGTCTGCGAAATTTTACGTTATCGCTTACTTCTAAGAATATTGTGGTCAATTTCAATAATTCTACATAGCCGTCTCTAATAACTTTTTCAATTCTTCTTTACAGTGGCATTTAAAATTGATATAAGAACGTCATCTGGTAGGAAATCTTTAAAGTTGTTTATGTTAGTGCTCTTCTCAGTTATCTTGAAATCGATGAAATAAGTGAACACCCTTACTTTTATTTACCGTAAAATTACAATAAAAAGCTGCTCTCAGTAAAAGTTCATACATATGATGTAGATAAGGATTTGCAGCCCCCTTTGAAGTTGTATCAAAGCAAAAGGCTACGACCGGCGTTCCTCCAAATTCCATCTAAATAAAAGTTCATACAATGCATCAGCGATTTCTGAACTATTTGCAGCGGGTAACTTTGCAACTCCTTTTAATTGTTCATCATTTTTAAAAGTAACAACAACCGGCAGCGGTTTGGCTTTTTATTTGTATTTTAAATTTAAGAAAACGACTTAAAGTTGTAATAAGGTTGTAACAACCTGCATAGCTGAACGATCAATTACACACCTAAAATTCGAAGTTTTTCAAGTTTTCAATCCCTGTGAGCCACCTCTAAATCTTATTTGATTGCAGGGAAATTTCATATATATGAATTCTAAGCCGTTTGGAATGTCTTAGTGGGTGAGACCGAGAATCCCAACTTGATTTAAAATAAAGATCACCTTAATGTATTACATACATATGTAAGTATGTATACAATTTTTTAAATACCTCTAACTATCTGAGTCTATTGATAATGACCCTATTTCTATACGATATTTAATGAGCTTCCCCGAACCCACTTGATATTAACGGTGCTGGTTATGAATGAGCTGTGTAAAATATGCTTCTCAAAAACCATAATTTTTTTTTTGCCACTAATCTTATCGCAAACATAAGTTTGGAATATTTAGAGTGCAAGTGGTTCTATTACACGCGCCAGAAATTATACTATATATATATACGAGTATTATAATATATCTACAAAAAAACGAGCAATAACCAATATATAAGTTAAATCATACACCTGTGCGCTGACAAAAGTTTGTATTCTCACATGTTTATATATGTACTTGTATGTACAAACATACATACGTATAATGTGTGTAGATATTGTAATGTGTCGTTGCCTTCGTTACTTCGAATTCTTTCCATTCGCCCCCGCGTGCAGTTGTTAGCCGGCGGAATCACCGCCAACACCTGTCAAAAGATGAAGCTCTTTGACGCTTCATCGGTTAACAAGCTCTTTCAGTTTGGCCCCTACGTTCGCCACTTCAATTTTGTTTAGTTGCTCAGCTGATTTTCGCGATCGTGGCCAGAAGCTTTGCGATCGCTCACCTAAAATCATTACAAACAATTGCTTAATTCGGTTAGTACTCTGTTGACATTCCTCAAGCGTAGCCGACGCGGTCTTATCATAAACGTAAACGTTTTTACTGTCGATAGGGAATATTTTAGTGGTTCTAGACTTGCATACAATACCTCATTTGTTAGCGGTTTACAAAACTCGTATAACGATTAAAAGCCGATTTGTTTCTCGTAAATTAATTATTTTTGTGCTGTGACTATAATTGCTCCGACTTTATTCTCGTATACTCGTACATACATAAAGTTAAACACAAAATAAAACACGAAATTGGAGTGCTAATAAATAGAACACATAAAAATAAGAACAAATAAACAAACAGAAATCATCAGCAATCTTCATGCCACAAAGGTACGCGTTATTGCACATGTGCACAGTGATTAAATAACCAACAAACAGTGCGGGACTCTCCCAATGAGTCACGGTAGGATTCAAACAGAGGTCTTTCCCATCGAAAAAATCTTGTCTCTCGATTCAATAATCTTGATAAAACGATATGCAAGTAAATTTAAAAGTGTATATGTATTATGCACATATTTATAAAAGTACTTCAAATATGCTGAACTGGGTATTTGAGGTTTTCGTTCAACAATTCAAAAGCTTTGCGTAATTCGAATTAGCAAACGGAGCTTCAGCTTGAATATTTTTTATTATGCATAAGCTTACGCGACCAATTTTTGTGTACTTTGGTGAAAATATGTATATATGTACACCGGTATATTCAGAGGTTTCCAAGAAGAGCTTAATGCGGGATATATGTATAATAAAAAGTATTAAAACAGTTATCAGTGCATACATATGTATGTACTGTATGTACTGTGAATCGGCTTGCCATTTAGCTTTAACATCAAACTATTGGAACAGAGTTGCGCTAAATATGGTTACTTCCTGTAAAAATTTGTTTGCGATCACAGAAAAAGTTAATACAAATAGAATGCATAATAAAACTCTTCGTTATAAATATTTGTTTGTAAAGGTTTATTTGACAGATTTGAAACTAAGGCTTTTTGTAAGCTTTTACTTTTAAATAATTTAGACAGTAAACTTAAATGCGTAAGACTTATTCTTACATAGACGTATAAGCGTTTTCTTAACTTTTTAATGATATAAAGATCTTTTAACTTTTTTAAATTCAAATTAAATCTGGTGCGTTAAAATCTGTGTCAGAACTGCTTTCGAATCTCTGCCTGAGAAAATAATTACGATCTCCCTTCCGGCTTTCAAAACTATCTTGGTGGCGAGAAAATTTTCCAAAGTTTACCATCATCGTTTTTCTGGTTTTAAACCTCAATTTAGGAAGTACGCTTAAGGCGAATCCGCTTAGCAACGGCATGCATTTACAACTAACTGCTATGATTTTCACTTTGTTGGGAATATAATTTGCGCTTTGTAACCGCTGAATCGAGCTCCTCCTTCAATTTGTGGTTTTGCGTCTTGATATTTTTCCAATAAATGGAGAGACCTACAATTATATTAAGCCGCCTCTGAACGCCTGATGGTTTTTTTTACGAGGAGCTTTTATTTCATGTACGAAATACACTCGGAGCGGTGGATATTAACTGCCCAGTGGCGACAACAATTAGATAATTTAGCTTAATTTTTATTTTAAATTAAATTTCCATAACTTATTGGATGTTGGTGGCAGCGGGATAAGAACCCGAGCCTTCCGAATGTCAGTACGCAATGCTAACTACTCGGCCACTGCGGCCGCCAACTTCACACATGTTTGTATTTAAACCACATTTTGATTTAGTAATTTTTTATATGTTTTTTTGCAATTTTTTCGAAATGACTTTAGTCATATCTTTTTTAGTAGACGTACTAAGCTGTTTATGTTATCTAATATAAGTAGATAAACATTCAATTAATAAAGAAATTCAAAAGAGGCAATAAGTGGAATGTAATATATTTCTTTAAATTAAATATTTTACACCCAGTATTTTTGGAGGTAGCAGCTAACTAAAGACGAAGAATATAAGAATAAATCAAACTTAATCCTGTCAACTTTAATCAAATTGACATCCGTAAATAGAATTATTTGCTTTATCTACATTCATTTCACTCCGGAAGTGCATGAAATAAATTCAATCACCGACAGGAGATACTCTTCATATCCCAACCGAGTATTTAGTGTTCGGTTCCTTATTATATAATGTAGGCAAATACTTAGTATATCTAATCCATGGTCGCCCTATCAAAACATAGATCGTGTTTATATTTGTATTTTATTTACGCTCATTGTGTATTTAGTTGATTTCGTCAAGTAGATGGTTTAACTTAAAAGAAGTGCTGACTGTTTGGAGAGAAAAACATTCAAATACTGATATTTTTGTTTGTATGATTACGCGCTTGCTCGTATATGTATGTTTATAGGCATATCATTCAAGTACAAGGCGTATGCACATATATTGTTGTATGTCTCGGTACATTAATGTTAGTAGTTTTTGGCGTCTAATAAATTATCCAAATGTAAACACAATCGATTATGGACGCTCAATGTATTTACTTACAACATTATTTTGTATGACAGAACGCTTTAAATATATACACATAATTAGTTTTGCGCATTCATACATATGTACACACCTACAACGCTCGTTTAAAATAATAAATGGAAATATAGAACCATACAAAATTGTTCATTCAGTTAGGAGTCCATCCCATCGTTGTTTCCTTTGTTTAGTCAAATTGGTTCACTTACGTGTAATACCGTTGGGAAGAATGAAAATGAATAAAAACTTTGATATACATATGTATTATATATAGCAGTAGCCGGTTTTGGTCCTATTAAGCTGAAAATTTCAGGATCATCCCAGTTTTGCGTATACTCTCTAGATAAAAGGCGACCCTTTAATGGAGAAGGTGCAGTTGCCCAGCTGGTTAAGATATCCGTAAGAATAAAGGCTGACATCAACGCCGTCCAGGAAGTGCGATGGACGGGACAAGGACGGAAGCGATTAGATTCTTGTGACATTTATTACAGCGACCATATAAAAGAGCGCAACTTTGGTGTCTGATTTAAAGTGGGAGAGAGATTCCGTCGTCGTCGAGTACTGTCATTTACCGCCAGGGATGAACGTCTCGCCTCAAGCCGAATCAAAGCGAAATTATTCAACGGTTTGACCAAATGTGCCGTTTATGGGCGCCTAGAGCACACTTATGAGCGCTGCCCCCACAGCGATGTGACAAATGGTACTTGGCGATTATACGGGAACTGTGAAAATACTCGTGAAATGAGAATCGACGCCATCCCTTCGTCGATTTTAATGCCGCCTTCGACAGGACGAATAGGAGCTGCGTTTACGCCGCTATGTCTGAATTTGGCATTCCCGCAAAGTTATACGGCTATGTAAAGTGACCTGAAGCAACACTAAAAGCTCCGTCAAACGTGGTTTCAGCCAGGGTAATTTCTTATTGAGTGACTTCTTTAATTTATTGCTGGAGAAAATAAAAAGGCCGGTAGAGCTGAATAGAGAGGGTACAATCTTCAATAGGAGTGTACAGCTACAGGCGTACTCCGATGATATTGACAAGGTAGTGAACAAAGACAAGACAAAACATCTCCTGTAATCAAACAAACAGTCTTCTCATTCGCCACTTATCTCCCATGTCGCTGTTGACAGTCATAACTTCGAGGTCGTAGACAATTTAGATTATCTAGAGACCAGCATCAACAAAACTAATTTTGTCAGCCTTGAAATCCAGCGCAAAGTCACTTTTACCAACAGGCACTACTTTGGACTGAGTAAGCAATTGAAAAGTAAAGTACTCTCTCGGCAAACGAAGACATAACTCTACAAGTCTCACATCGTTTCCGTCCTGTTATGGTGCGGAAGCAATGGACGATAACAACATCTGATGAGTCGGCGTTAGAAGTTATCGAGTGAAAGGTTTTGCGTAAGATTTACGGTCCTCTATGAGTTGGAAATTGCGAATATCGCAGCCGTTGGAACGATGAGCTGTATGAGATATACGGCGATATTAGTTCAGGGAATCGAGAAATAGCGGCTACGCTGGCTAAGTCATGTGGTCCAAATGGATAAGAATATTCCAGCTTTGAAAGTTTTCGATGCTGTACCCGACGGTGGAAGCAGAGTAAGAGGAAAACCTCTGGATGTATTGTACTTGGTATTTTCAATTGGCGCCAAACAGCGAGAAACAGTGCAATGTTATAAATTCGGCTATAATGGCGTAAGCGGTGTCTACGCTAGTAAAGTAAGTAATTAAGTAATAGATTTGCACATACAAGCGCAAATTTTTTATATATATGAGTATTACATATGTTATTATCATTGAATGCTACTATTTACATATATGTTTGTATGTACACATATGCATGTATACCAAATACAAGTACGTGGAAATAGAAATACTCTATGAGTAGATGCCAATTTAGACAAATTGACAACTTCAAACAAAAACTCAAGCAAAAAATTTACCCTTTTAGAGGGCTATTAGAAAAATCATATTTGTGTCTTTATCGTTTGGCGGCCATAAAGCATGTAGAATTTCATAATTGTTGAACTACAATAAAGTTTATATACAATTAATAAGTTAAATATGTCGTATAGTTGATAATACTGTTAAATTACTTAGGAAAGTACTTAAAATCCATAAAAAATAATACAACTTGCTGCTTAATTTTTACTGAATCCTGTTTGGTAAAAACTCAGTAAATTTCTTTCTTCACTGGCTAATTTTTTAATGAACACAGCTATTATATTGGTAGAGGAAAAGATGATGATGTTAGGAACGTTCGAGGTGCGTTAAGGTGTCGGATATTTACCGAGTTTATTTATTTTTTTTTTAGTTTTGTCACGAGAATATAAAATAATCGTGGAAACATAAACATCCTTTGTAATTTGTCTTACAACGTAATTATGAATTTTACATACATACATACACATGTACAGGTGTTGGAAACAATATTCGAATTCTTTACTAACACTTTGTAAATTTGAGCAATCGCTGTATCAGCTCGGGGTATCTTCTAGAACATGCAAATCGGAATTGAATAAAGCGAATTGTAATATTGGTTCTCGTACCAATAAATTGCGGATATAAAGACAAAAAACGGTTGCTAAGTATTTACAAATTTACTTAGCTGCTATTCACATTTACCCAGTAGGAAATTATAACATTTCGGCATCTGGCCTAAATTCGACTATAAAATTGAAAATTAGGGATGGTGCAAGAAAAATAATCATACATCCATTTGGATTGTTTAAAGCCTCTTAATTTGGAAATAAAAGCAATAAAGTAAGAATCTAATTATCTAGTAGCATCCTACGAAAACCTAATTTCTTTAATACAAACGCATATGCAAATATAAGAAGCACAAATAAAAAATATATAATATATCAAAAGCCAAACATCAAGGTGTGAAAATACTTATTGACATATAAATACATACATACATACATATGTATATTCACATATAATTTAAATTAAATGGTTTATAAATGTCGGAACATTAGGGTGCCCGTTATTTGGGCTCAACTAATTTGTTTGTAAATTCTTATTTTCAAAAGTTATAATACACATGAGAGCTGATACATAGTTAATATACATATATACATACATTTGTTGAGTCCTTTTTCGTAATCTGCTTAATTTCCACAAGGATGTGAACTTCTCATAGTTGTAAATTTACTTGTTCGCGAGAAAAAAATTAAAATTTAGAACGAGAGAAAATTATTTTCTTTTAGGCCCTCAACTTCGAAAGAAAAAATCAACTTGATAAATAACGCACAAGCTAATGTACATCCGTACATATGTACAAGCTTACACTGTCGAGTATTGAGTCACTTTTCGTATCATCAGCTTTTCAGGTCAGCTTAAGAATTTGTGTTATTTTCTGTAAATGGCTTTACGCAAACACATACAACAAGTGCAATTTCCCCTGTTGTTATTTTAATTGCGGCTTATAAGCGCAGCGATTCAAAAGTTTTGTGTATTTTTACTTTTATTTTGAAGCGAAATTGTGCTATCTAAATACGGAAACCGTTATTCGGTGTTAAACATTCTTCGTGCTGACTCTGTGGAAAACGCGGGCAAGAGATAGTAAAGTTAGGTTGGAACCCTGCACATAAAAATCTTTCAAGTCTCGACAATAATAATTTAAAAGACATAACCAAACAAATTCACTCTTTTGATATTATGCATTTTTTATTTTCAAGTTTACTGTTTTTCATAAACTGATCTTATAATTTCATAAAAAAATAGTAATAATAACTTTATATATATTTAGTTGATATTTTCAAGTCAGCACAATCTTAAACATTTTAAACAAATATTTTTGTTCGAAAATAAACGTAATTGGGACATCGTTACTTCTCAGGTCAGTTTTAATGTATATCAGAGTGAAATTAGCTTCCAAGTCGAGGAAGTGGAAGTTTCCTAAAATATGTCGAATTCGCCGATAAATAAAATATATTAAATAAAATATTAAATCTCTAATTGCGGTCGTCCCTCGGCAGGGAATGTCAACCCCTCCGAGTGTATTTATGATATAAAATAAAGGCTCCTCATAATAAAATATCAGCCATGCGGAAGCGGTTTAGTATAAGATGTAGACCCCTTCATTTGTTGGAAAAACATCAAGACGCATATCAGCAGTTACAAGGCGCCAATTATATATAATGGGTATTCGTGAAAGCTTTCGCTGTTTATAGAATATCTAGAGACCACATAGCGTAAAATGATTCCAATTCGTGTTATTAATTCACGGCTCACACCAGATGTTTTAGCTGATCCAACATACTTTTGAATAATGCCAATTCGAACCTGATTTTTTTCGGGATAAAAGTTTTGCTTTCTTCTAATAAGAATTGGTCTGAACGACGGACCTGCCCCTCTTTAACAGGCAGCCGATAACCTACGTGTAAAATATTCACTTATGATGACATTGAAATTGTTTATTTGTTTCGGCGTTAATTTATAAAATCGTAACTTGAAAAAATAATCCTTTTGTTTTCTTTTTTCCAGCTTGCAACAGTTTATACGTTCTTTTGATGTAATCGCCATCAATTTAAAGGACCAAAGCATCTTCGGCACAATATTTTATAGGCCACAAAAAAATTATTTTCTATCTTCATCTTGTAGGTGATGCGAAAAACTGGACTGTAATTCGATACCTTAAACACTATGTGTTTGTAATTAGTTACGCTAAATCAATGAATTCGCCCACTGTGCATAGGCGGAAGCGGAGTGTTATGATAAAATGTTTCTTATTTCGTTATTATTTGCTTATGCAAAAAGATTACTTATGTAATATCTCAGTCATTCTGCTGCAAGTGCTTATCACGGCTAAGACATTTAATTTTTCCTCCACGGTCGTATTTCCCAAAGAAGTTTATCGGCATGAGATGGACATTAAGATCATTTGCTTTATTCTTTTGGAAGAGAATATTCGTGTAATGTTTAGTTCTGCACTCACATATCTCGATTTCGGTCGCCGACTCTCATCTCTGTTGCTCTTGAAGTATTCAGTATGTCATCGCATATTATTATTTTTTCACTTTTTATCTGCTTTTGTTTACATTTTTCAGAGAGTTATAAATGAGGTAATTATTGATAGTAATAACTGAAAACCCATTTTTTATAAGTATGATGCATTTGAAACCATATCAAGATCAAGATTACTAAGATTATTCGATTGAAATCAATAAAAATTTAGTATTTCAATTAATGTGGCTTTGTCATCGTCAGGTGTAAATTGACGAAACTGGACAAAATGAAATATAGTTTTAGAACGAAAATGCACAAATGTAAATAAAAAATTTCCTGCAAGGTTTCTACCACTTCTGGAGAGAACTGACCGATTTCAAGCCATAATAGCCATAATGAGTGGCCGTCCATAAGAACGATGTCCATACATCGAGTTCTGTTCAGACAAAAGTCAATATGATGACGCATGCAGAAAGTATGAACGTACATACATTCCCATAAAAATGTTAATTAGTATTGTGCTTATATAGATATGAATTTAGGATGGTACAATAACAATATGTATACCATTTAAACAAAACCACTTTATTACTTCTTTTCTTTTCCAAAAATAAATCACATTTTACAACTCATGCTTCATTTTTTTGTCTTTGTTAAGAAGCTGAAATTAATTTAAATAAATATAATCATAAAGTACATAAATAAATATCTTGATTGTTATAGGTAGCGCTTACGCGAATATAGCCGAATCAATAATAGCGCGCCGTTCGTTCCTTTTATTCGCCAACAAATTATAAATGGTTCGAGAGTATCACCTGTTGGCAATAGCGATCCTGTCTTAGATTAGTGTTTGTTAGTTTGTCTGATGACATTAGATATTTCGTCTTGTATGCATGTGAATGTGTATATTATGGCCAATATCAGGTCAACTAGTACAAAAAAACATTTTTTGTTCCAAAATAGATGACTTGTTATGATTTTTTAAAGAAACCTGAAAAGTGATAATTAATTAATAATATTCTCGATTTTTAACTAAAATCTTCTATCGAAATTATAAAAAGATAGTTGAACATTTTTCAAATATTAATCCTTCAATACAAGAAGAATATACTCGTACTTACACTGGTAATCAAAAGTGATAATTATTTACATGGCTGTGGCAATAGCCGAGTGCTGAACATTGCGTTGTTTTATTCGGAAGGCCACGGTTGAAGTCCTGGTTCGACCAATATTCAAAATTATAGAAAATTAATTTTTCTAACTAAGCATCAATTATGTTCATATATAAATACATACACATAAGCATATCTATGCATGCACATATATAATTGTTTACATGCTCACAAATGTGTATTGATTTGCTCAGAACAGAGTTGGTTCGCATACACAGCACACGCTATATCTTTTCTTTTTTTCGTTTTTATTATTTCTAAATGAAATAATTTTTAAATAAAATAATTAAGTTTTATTATTAGATATAACAAATGCTGTACACACACTCATACGTACATATGTATTATACATGTATGTATATTCAGCGTATTGAATTCATATTTCCCTAATTTGCGTAAGCGTCAACTTTAGTTCAAGCATTTATTAGACGTGTTTCCCTGAAATACAGTGAACTCCTCGAACAGCGCACAATTCAATTAACATTTGCTTCTTCTGATTAGTTTAACATTCCCTGCAATTTCTGTTTTCAGCTCTGTAAACTTGTGTTTGATTCGAAATGGTTATTCGAATCGAAAGCCGCAGCGCCATCTACCGTCATTGCCTGAATGCTTTTTACCAGCTGAGAGCATACACAAAAACAAAATCAAAAACAGCTGGGAGCGTCAGAAGATGGAAACCGAGAAGGAGGAAGCTAGGAATTTGGTAATTATAGTGATAATAAAATAAAATACTTTGAATAAATTGAGATCGAGCTTATTCCATATTATTTAAATAAAAAAATTAACTTTCTTACTTATTTGAAAGTCTAAAACAAATCCAGGTTGAATTGTTTTCTCCTGATTTTTATAGCAGGTGGAATTCGAATGGGTGCTGCGCGAGGAAGTGCATACAATCATGAAACAATTAAAAAAAATATTGGTGGAATGTGCTCACCTTTTCCCTGTGCCGCTTTATGCAAATGAGGGAAAAAAGACTGAAAAGTACATCATGAATGTTGCGCCAGAAAAACTCCGGGCCATGGTTACTCTAACGGGTGATAGCATCATACATGCAGTATGTATAGTATATACGATACAATCGAAATGAATTTTTATTTAAGATTTTATTGTACAGGATATAAGTTTTAAGCTGGCACGGCCTCCACACCAACAGCAAAAAACATTTATAAATCAGGACTCGCCGTGGAAGTTACAGCAAGTACAGGATGCAGCAAACCATCTTCAGCAAGCAATCAATCACATCGATGACGTAGATGCAACCTACCATTTCAAGTGAATTCGTTTTCATTTGTTTCAAATGTTAATAACTAAATTATTATGCGTTATTTTATAGAACTTCCGACGAAGTAATGAATGTAGTTGGTAACATACTAGAAGCATTGCAACGAGCAAGAACTAGTTTGGTGATACCAAAGAAAAAACCAATTGCTGACCTGATTAAAAGCCGTAATATGGTTGGTTAATTTTTTCATAAAAAAAAAAATGTATGTATAAGCTGTATATTCTTTTTAGAAATCCCTAGCCCCAAATTTGTCGGAAGACTTAGCAGTCAGTTTTTATCTTCAAAGTCACAAATTAATTATGGCGGTTTATCAATTAATTACAGTACAGGGCTCAATGCGTTTTGATTCTTGTCAAGCTGAGGCGACTGTGCAATGGCTGAACGACGTAATGCCTTTATTGTGCGCCGGACTGAAGCTCTGCCAACAACTTAAAGACAAGGTAAACTATTTAATACATCTTATTTATTATTAGGGTTTAGAAAAAATTAATTATATGATGAGGTATATACATGTAACATATTTAAGATGTGTTCCAATTGTGGCACACGTTTTTCTATAATCTCATATTGCACACGCGTTGTTGCTTTTTGCACACTATGTTGTTATTTATAGAGTACATTCATACAGTAGATTAGATTATTAGGTATTATTTGCAGGGGATCTCTTCATATGCTACCTTTTACAAAAAGTTTCGTTATATTCTTAGTAAAACAATACAGGTTATGGACTATCGCCTCCAGTATTCAAAGATCGTAGTATAATAACATGCAAAATATTTAGATAAGTAAAATTAAGTACGGTTATACTTCGAATGGACATTTTTTTACCGCACCTTCCCTTGTATATGATATTCATCAACTGTAGTAACAGATACAGTTCCTGAAAAATAAAGAATTGTGTTACCCAGTCAGTGCTAAATTGTCGCTTATAGGGATACAGGATAAAGAGTTTCTCAGTTGTACAGCTATGTAATCTTCGGGCCGATTTCATGAGTTATAACTTAAAAATGTCGAAATCAGTTTAAAACTATCAAACCTCTCATATAACGATACAAAAAATGCGATAATTCACTCTAGCTTCTTAATTTGAAGGAAAATTTATTTTGATGAGAGATTAATGCCCAGGAAAACTTTGGGAATAGGTTTATATTTCTCCCTTATTTTTCTCTGTAACTGGAACAGCTTTGTTTTGAATGTGAACCAAATTAAACCATAAAGTTTTTGTTCGTTTAATTACAAATTAAAATAAATATAATATAATTAATCGAACCAAGTAAGCCGTTCTCCAGTGGTATATATGTACAAATATATATTTTTATGGATATAACTATTTGAGTTATTGAATTTAACAATTAGATTTTTGAACTTGTTTCAGATCTCTGTGTTCTCAGTATACAAGGATTTTACTGTGGAGTCCCGCTCACCATCAGCACTTTCCTATTGACACTTATAAAAAGCAACTGGTGACTGAATTGGAAACAAAGCTAGGGAAACTTACAGATCATCACAATTTCAATACTGGAGACTTAGGAGTTAATTCAATTTGGCAACATCATGTGCATCCACACGCCAGTTTCTGTATATATTTGTTATATTGCTTTTGTTTGTATTACTATTTCAAAGCATTTATTTTATACAGCTATGAAATTTGAAGAAAAAATATGAAACGTATGCACAGTACACCACACAAAAGGCCTAAAACAATAAAAATGTGCCGATTTTTTGTTCAATTAACTAATAACTACTCATCATAATATACATACATGTGTATTCATATATTTAGTGTGAGTTTAGCGTTGATAAGTTTATAATTTTCTTATATTTTTAGGTTTTTATTGAAATATTATATATAGATATATATACCGTGACAGTACTTACAATTTACTCGCCGTCTAGAATTTTACAAAGAAAATTAGCAGTTAATACTACCATTAATGCCTTTTCTGCTTAAAAAGCAATGAAGAAGAAATAAAATATGCCTTTTGATATATTCAGCTTTAGCGGTTAAAATACACTTGCATACATGTGAGTGGGAAGTTCAAATTGCTGTAATTATTGTAATGAAAATATTGAAAAATAAATAAAAAATAAACAAAATACAAAAACATTTTTAAACTTATGCCAAAAGTCAGTATGCCAAAATCAACGGGCAAAATTTTAAAGCCCTAGTTAGTGTCTTGGGTACATATATAGGTATTATGTTTGATGAATAGTTTACTTTTTAACGTCCTTTTGGCTGTTTGTTCCCGACTTCAGAGAGAAATGTATTAGCTTTACCTACTGTTTTAACATAATTTCAAATATAAAGCATTTGATCCCCTTTAACCTAATTTTTACTAAAACCAATCAAAAAATTTAGGTCACATTCTCCGCATTAAACCATACTTATATAAAAATGTTTGAATCGTAGTCAACAATTTTTATTTCTAATAATTGAAAAATACAGAACTAAATCAATTGGAACACATAAATTATATTGTGGTGTTCGTTAACATTGTTTTCCATATTTTGATGATGAAAGAAAATGGTAAGGTAAATAACGTAAATTTTTTATTTACGGTATAATCAACATGTATAATCCGTTGATTAAGTCGAATCATCTAATTGGGTTAAATATTATTTTATAATTGCTCTAATTAAGTGGATGAGTTCACACTCTTAATTGAGGTAATAAAGGTTTTCGAGTACTTCGATAACGCTATGGGATTAGCTATGAAATTGCTGTAATACCACTGCTTATGGATAAAGTTTAAAATCGATACAGAAAAGTGGTTAACTGTTTTTAAATGTTTTTCTGGTATATATTGTAATAATTCGTTATACAAATCTTTGGATTTGTTTAACAACTTTTTCCATATACGAAAATTATAATCAGAGGTGTTATGGAAACCGACACAGAATTGCTTATTGATCGGAATTTAAAATGAATAATGACCCTACACGTTGTTGGGGCTATTTGTATTATCTTTTTTCCAATTTTTATTTACTATTTCCGGATATCATTTTAACTAAAACTAACCATGAATATGTATATATATTTTTTTTAAATAGATAGATCCACTTCCCGTAAAAAAGGGTCGAAATAACAACAAATATAATTTTTTCACAAAACGCCACATATATTTACATATGTGTGTATGTATATATCGAATTTTAAGTAAATCTAACCACAAATATGATTTTTCGGAATAGGTCAGTCCCTGGTCCAGTTTCAGGAGAGAAAACTAGTTAAGCTAGGTTCAGAAAACCACTAATGTACCTGCGATTTGGTCCATCTCACGGATCTTTAAAAAAGAAAGTAATCCTTGTCAACAAATATTGACATTTTGAAATTTCTGCCACTAGCCACCGATGCCCAGAGCATATTGAATTTATGGAGGAAACACTTCTCCAGCCTGCTGAATTATAGTGAAATTGGAGTATTCGGAGATGGTGAGCCCGAAACCCAATCGATGACGATGGAAACGACGTTCCATTACCTGATCATGAAGAAGTTCGATTGGCAATCGCCTGCATAAAAAACAACAAAGCGGCTGTAGCTGGCGGTCTACCGGCAGAACTATTCAAACGTGTGCTCCGCTCAATCCATAAAAAAGGGCACCCCACAGTCTGCTCCAATTATCGTGGGATAATCCTAATTAATATCGCCTGTAAGGTCCTCTCCAGCGTTTTTTTTTTTTTGAAAGACTAAAGCAAACTGATTGGATCTTATCAGTGTGGCTTCAGACCTGGTAAATCAATCATTGACCAGATATTTACCATGCCTCAAATCTTGGAAAAGACCCGTGAAAAGAGGTTTGACGCCCATCACATCTTTGTCGACTTTAAAGTTGCCTTCGATAGCACGAATAGGAGTTGTCTCAACGCCCCTGTGTCTGAGTTTGCAAAACTTATATAGCTATGTAAACTGAAGTTAAGCAACACTTAGTATCGGTATCCAAGCCATTGGATATCAAACGAGGATTCAAGGTGACTTCTTGAGGTATGACTTTTTAACTTCTTACTGGAGAAAATAATACGAGCTTCAGAGCTGAATAGAGAAGGACATTATTGTGCTCCACAACTGGGCTGTGAGTTCTGCTTCCAGACTGGATAAGAAAGCGAAGGATATGGACCTGTTAGTGAACGAGGGCAAGACGAAATATCTTTGGCTTCACACAAACAGTCATCGTATTTGTGACTTGGTCCCATGTCACTGTTGATAGTTATAACTTCGAGGTCGTAGATAATTTCGTCTATCTAGGAACCAGCTTCAACACCAATAATAATGTCAGCTTTGAAATCCAGCTCAGAATCATTCTTGCCAACAGGTGCTACTTTGGACTGAGTAAAGTTCTCTCACGATTCTACAAGTCCCTCATCGTTCCGGTCCTGCTATATGGTGCGGAAGCAATGGACGATAACAAACTTCTGATGAGTCGGCTTTAGAAGTACCCGCCGGTGGAAGCAGAGAAAGAGGACCACCAGGTAGAGAAGGACCTGGCTGTACTTGGTATTTTCAATTGGAGCTAAACAGCAAAAAGAAGAATCGAGTAAGCGGTGTCTACGCCAGTAAAGTAAGTAAAGTAAGCAATGTAGCATATAAATAAATAATTAAAAATGAATTACATTCTAGCGATTTTTCAGAAGTTGTCAGAGAACTTATAAGTGGTGCCATGCAGAGGAAGAATTTGCACCATCTCATTACTATATGTTCTCTGCTTGAACGACTTGTTTAGTTATTTGCTCTCAACAGCGGCTAGTGGAACAACACCAAAATACGGAGAGAGTTTCTAAAATATAACTTGAGCCACAAACAGCCAAATTGAGCGCCTTGTTTGTAGTGGAAAAAAGTAGACAGCGCCGTGAGTGGCAGAATAATCGTTCCCCTTCGTCTTAATTGAAACTAAAAGCTGCTGAGGAAAAAACTGAGGAAAGCTTTGAAAGGTGAAGAATAAGCGTACTTAAAAGATTTATTTTCGCCTTGAGGTCGAAAAAAAATTTAAGAAACTAATAGAAAATGAGAGACCACTCATACAGAGAACCGGTACTTGGCCACCTCTGAAGAAGAAACATCAAAACTTTTTGAAAGTTGAACTTGGTAATGAATAATTTCATTATTTTATCTCTGCCTTTGTCTCACTACATCTAGAGGATTATTTTCGAATGTATGCAACCTCATCACAGATAAAAGTCATAACAAAAACACTGAATATAAAAAATTCGCCTGGTTACGACACCACAAACACTAACGCAGCTGCCATCTTCGAAATTTTCTTCACGAATGCGGAACTATACCATGGTACTGTAGAGCAAGCCCATCACAGCACCAATGACATAAAGAAGGTATTGAAGTTGAAAGAGAGATTGTTCAGAAATAGTTTTTGATGTCGCTTAAGCATTCGACAAGGTGTGGCTTGAAGGACTTATATATATACATATATGTAAACGAGTATATGTATATACATATGGATATATATGTATACATATTCATATGTACATATGTATATGTATATACGTATCGAATACACAGACATTTTGTTTTGATGCTGCCAAATAAACGGGGTGTTTTAAATTTAAAACATAAATGATGTTAACGTAAACAAATAATTTTATACGATTGGACCTCGCCTTCGTTAATATTATTTGACTTAAATGAATTATGCATTAATGGTTGAAATTGAATTGGAAAGTTAAAACCATCCTCATGCATCAAAAGTATTTTAGCAGGGGTCAAATTTGTGCTGGGAAAGCTTTTCTTTCAAACATCAAAAACATTGTATTTGGGTATTGAAAAGCAATAAAAATTCCACTTTTGGATGAAATTTAGTTTAGAAGAAGTAACAGCAAACAAACATTTTTCTGAGATCCACACTAATAAAAGAGTCTACTGTGCTTATTTGTTTTTTTTCATTTTAAATGATTCGCTTTGATGAGCAGTAAACATAAATTCCTTTAAATTCCTTAAGCACTTTACCTAATCAAAATGCTATAGGCAGTAATGACTTTGATATCAGGGATTATTTCGTCAATTTCGGGACCGGTTTCAAAATCAACAAAAATGTCATCCTGAAACTCAATGCAGAAACATGTTGCCTACAGTACAAGTCGGTAAGAAAAAACGGAACTCTACCATGCGAAAAGTCAGTGCTTAAGAACGATTGATGACCTTGACGAACTATCGACGATGAGCTGTGAATCAGCAGACACTCCAGGTTAAACCAGAAGAAAATGAAGACCTCCACTGCGTTGGAAAGATCAAATGAAGAAGGAACTGGTTTCAATTGGTGCCGAAGAGCGATACGAAGAAAAGACTGACGTGCTGTTGTTCAGTCAGCTATAATCGTATAATCGGTGCCTACGCCAATAAAGAAGAGGAGGACGTGACTTCCTTCATTTGTTCTTGCTGATTATTAAATATTTGTTTCGACTCTAATACTCACTCGTATGTATACATATGCCTGCACATATTAATTCAACGAAAATGATGCAAAAATCGGAATCTGTGTTATTTAGCAAACAGTGAAAGGTGGTTGCGTACACAGAAAACATGTTTAATATTTAAAGAATTTAAATATTGTTAAAAAGAAATATTTACTAAAAGTATCTAAAATTATGGATTAAGCTCAGCGAAGTTTTGGGCCATGGCTGTAACCCAGAATAACATAGCGGTTAGATACAACGCAATCAAAGCCGAGTCAGCTGGTTTCCTCATTCTCTGGTCGAAGCAAAGCTTCATCGTTGTTATTTCAACGCAGTGGCGCTCAGTTTAAGATAACTTTTCAAGCGACTCTAACGTGCAGACTAAACGAGCTGCCAAATTTTTGTCTAGAAAACAGAAAAAACGAAAACAAAGTTTACGCCGTTTCATAGGTGAGACTTACATATATCGTAATTATTGCACATATGTACATACATATGTATGTCAAAGTAGACAATTTTTTCTTTACGAGGGCCACCGCCATTACTTAATATATTATAAACTTAATAAAATTTAAGGGAACGTTTGAGAGTAATTAGGTTTCATGTCTATGTGAAGAAAACCAGTTTGGACTAGTGGCTATGCATCTATGAATGCACATATGCAATTGGGTACGTACGAGTATGTATGTATGTATATTCATTATAGCCATTATAAAACAACGAAATTATAAGCTTAAACGCAAGCTCAAAGTTTTTGAATATTGTTTACATTTTCGGCCTTTTGAAACCTTTGGCCATGGCCAAGATTGTTGGCCATATGAAGATGAATGTAACATATGTATGTATTCCTCTACATATTTATGTATCTCCAAGTGCGAATGAGTTAAGTTTTTTATGAGAAATGTTTAAATTGTGTTATTTGAAATCTCGCAGGGCAGTGGGCCAGGTTGTGTCGTTGCCAAAAGTGATTGCGAAATCTTTTAAAGTTTATAGTTGTGGGCAATAAAAGTGTGAAAATTAACCGCACGGTGTGTGAATTGTAGTTAATATAGTTAATTTAGCTAATTCAGAAGTTACGCATGACGATAATTCAAATGTATTAAAAAAATATTAAAATATAAAAAGACATTAAGAAATATCAAACTCTTGGACATATTCGTTTACACTAGCTAATAAATTCGGCCCCCGCTGAAAATTTTTACCTTTTCTTGTACCATAATTGTGGATTGAAATTTTAGAAGCTAATATTTACGTGTACATATGTATGGTGACTTGTTTTAGAATTGCAACAACTAACATTATGACACCGCTGGACCAGAATAGAGAGGGTGAAATTGTTTTAGTCACCGGAGGAAGTGGATTTATCGGGCAGCATTTGTTGAAACAAATATTGCGTGAGCAAAAAAACTTGGGAATTAAGGAAGTTCGATCCCTGGATATATTACCCTTCGAAAATAAGATTGGTAAGCAGCAGATCATGTGAGAAATCTTTTATATTTAATTACACGGTTTTCTTTGAAGACATTTGCAAATCTGAGGAACTTAAAGTTTTTGTCGGTGACATTTGCGATTCGAAATCCAGCACTGTACAGAGTGCTTTCAAAGGTGTTAATTCTGTGTTTCACTGTGCGGCCTTCGTTAGCATTGAATATCCACCAAATTTCAAAGAATTGGATCGAGTTAATGTGTGTGGCACAAGCGCTGTTGTAGATTTGTGTGTGCAACACAATGTGAAAAGGTTGATATATACCAGCTGCGCATCAGTCTGTCTAGTTCCATTTAAGGGCTATAGCACATTCACCATTGTCATCAATCAAACTGAGTCGAAAGCCAATACTCCCATTTTCAATGCGCAGGATGCTGCAGATTTTGATAAATCTTTCCTTATCCCAGGATATTCGTCATCGAAATTGCGCGCGGAAACTATAATTCTAAATTCGAATGGAGCGCTACTGAATAATCAAAAGGGTAGGTTTCCAAATTCCAAATTCCAAATTCCAAATATCCAATAATTATTTAATGCACTAACATAATTTCTTAGATTATTTGGAAACTGTAGCGATACGTCCGCCGCTCACGTATGGTGAAGGTGATACGAAATTCGTGCCGTGCGTGTTTGAGTACTTGTCCAGCCGTGGATTCAGTTACCCACGTATTGCCGGAGCAGGTGGCAAACAACAACTTGCCTATGCTGGTAAATAATGGCCTTAATTACCAAATTCTTAAGGAGACAATTAAAACTATCTTTTTTTTTTTTAAATATAGGTAACGTAGCTTGGGGCCATCTGTGCGCATACAAAACCCTCAAATCAACACCCAACGCCATTGCAGGTTTGCCAGTATTCATCACTGATGACACACCAATTAATGATGTAACTAGATTTATACAGAAAATGGCTTTGTTGGGCGGAAAGTTCAAGGTCAATTTGTCGTTATGGTACTTGCCACACTTTCTGTTCTTTTTTATTTCCTTCCTTATTGAATTGATGCTGCAGCTGCTATATCCAGTGACGAAATTTAAATTAGCTCATTCACTCCGTGCAATTGCGTCGTTTACAGCATCAGTTTTGATGTTCAATCGTCTAAGAGCCTCTATACATATGGACTACGTTCCATTAATTGAGCCAGAGGAAGCTGCACAACAAAGCGCGCGTTGGTATGCTCAGTGGTGGGAAAACCGTTGTTCCAAACCTATTAGAAATTCTAGTTGAAAATGCATTGTTAAAAGATATTTCACAAGCACCTTTGTTAGTAATACTCCTAAAATTGTTGTTGATATTTTTAAAATAAGTTTGTTATTGTTCTTGTTTTTACACAAATAAATAGGTATCGAATGGTTTTTGAAGCAATCTGCTCAAAGTTACGTAGTAATCTACGGCGCAATTAGTTACTTGCACTATATTTTATATGTTATCTGTGGCCCTCGAATTAAATGTGGTTGACATAATATATATATATATTTTTCAACAAAATTAATCATATAATAGACTCCACGAACTGGATGTTGATAGGCAAGCAAAATATAATAAATCACTAGAATCTCTTCGCTCATACAAATTGGTGTTGAAGTGAAATCGAACTTTATGTGGATTTTTAAAGCATTTTTGAAGTGGTGACTGAAAATCATAAAAAATCCGCATAACAAATCACCTCTTACAGAGACAGAGCTGCAAAAAAGAATTAAATTTTGAAGTGACGAAGCGGAAACTGTTTGCCAGGTCCGTAACAGCGGACAGAAATGTTATAATATCGGATATTATGGCTGGTTATGGATTACTGCATTTTCCGCGTCGAGTATATGTAGGACTTTCCAATAAGAGTGATATGATTTCTTAGAAAAAAGGACACACTAATTGTAAATTGTATTTAATGTGAAGTAAAATCGATTTAATGAAGCACTGAATATAACATCATTCAAATGGCCTCCACGACTTATTTTTCAGAACCCAATATTTGAGAACTTTTTCCACTAAATCTTAAAGAGAGTCTGGTTTATTGCTAAATACCAATGACTAATGGTGTTAAATTATAACTTCTTGGAGGCCATTCAATGTTAAAATTTTGTGAAATAATCGATTCTCCAAACTTTTCTTACAATAATTCTGTTGTGCTGCGTGACACGTAGCCTGGTCTTGTTGATACCAGATGTTGTTAAGATCAACTTCTTCCAATTGTGGCCATAAAAAGTTGGTTATCATCGATCTATACTGATCACCATTGACAGTAACGGTGCTATTAGCTTCTTTTCGAAAGAACTACTGACCGATGATTCCACCAGTACAAAAACCGCACCAAACTGCTAATGAAAATCTCTTTTCAAATTTTATTTTATAAATGAAATTATTTTATTTTACTTTTTTTAGTAATCTAAGTATTCTTAACAAATATCACTCGCAGAAATAACAAATTTTGAAACAGAACAGTAAAATTCGCCAAATATTGCGTTGTCAATTAATTCTTTGCAAAATGCCCACACAAATCAAAATAAAACGTACATAACTTAACGGTATAACAAATTTGAAAACGAGTGAACGCGTGCGTCATAGCTATGCGCTGCATTTCAATTCGTTACATTCAATTCGGTTAATTCGGTTAATGGTTTTGGACAGTTCAGATCTTGTTGATTTAGCGTTTTTAACAATGCCTGGCAAACGAACTAATGATAATCTTATTGAATTAGTTTATTTTAACTACCAGTTTCCCTTTTTGGCTAAGGAATTAGAGGAAATGTTTTCCATCAAGCTTAGAACGACTTATAATATTATTTAAAATGAATTTGTTTGATTTTATCATTTTGTAAATAATTGAATGACATACTTTTCACGTATATGCATACATATATGTATGTATATGACCAAGGAATTATTACCTTAAAAGAAAGGCTAGACTCTTGTTGGCTGGCACGTCTTCTTCTCTTCGAATTGATAAATAATAAACCGTCTATGATTTAAGGAGCTTGCTTACCGGAATTCAACAGCTCGATAGCGCATTTATGCAAAGCTGTTAGGGTTAGGTTAGGTCGACTTTGAATATAGTATGTATTTAAGCAATTGGCCTAAACAGTAATGTTTTATGAAAAGGTCTTTTTTTTATTGATCAGTTAACTTTAATTGGTCAAAATGAATTTCCAAAAGCATTTTGATTATCTTTCGTCTCATTTGACTTTTTTGTGAAAACTTTACACTTTTTTGTGCATTTGCCAGGCAAATTGAAATAATATATGCAAATAGCAATGTTCTTTGCACAACTTTTATTGCGATTAATTCTTTAACTTTAATGGTTAAACTCATAGTATTTTCTTAAATATGTTTTGTTTCATTTAAGTTTATTTAAAAAATTAGTATTTTTTTTTGTCAATAATTTTCACTTTTGTTATGCATGTTTTCGTACTAAACATACATTATGCATTCCTAGAAAATCGCAATGTTCTCAGCAAAGTCGGGTTTCCAATCAACCCTTTGAATGTTGTCAATCAAAATGTATACCCGAAGGAAAGTAATTTAATTATCCTTCTGTCCGGCATGTGTGCATCTTTTCGAGAAGTCTGTCAGTAATTATAATTGCTGGAACATGATAACCACTGAAATCAAACGGTTGGCGATTGTGACGCAGCTAACGAATAATGTTTGAAAGGGACTTACAAGGGGGCAGAATGCTTGATTTTACGAGTTCCTCTGATTTGCAACGATTTGCCAGTTTAGTTCAAAAAAATTCAGTTTCCAGTAAAACTTGCATTTGTGATTACCATCAATAGGTTGCAAGGACAGTCGCAGGAAGTGTGTGGCATAAATTTGGAAATGCCATGTTTTTCACACGGCCAGCTATATGTGGCGTGTTCATGTAAATTTACGCACCGGGACAGAAAACAAAAAACATTGTTTGTCAAGCTGCGTTACATTGAAAAATATGTAGGTAAATCGTAAATAAATGATTTTCAACACAATATAAATTCAACTTTCTTTTCTTTGCAAAAACATAATTTCACTCCGGACAACGCCTTCTGACCCCGCAGTTTTTAAAAGCTACTTTTCCTATGAAAGGACATAAACGTAACAAAGGTAAACGTCAATGTTCCATGGTTATCAGATCGGGTAAAAAAGAGATTTGTTTACAACTGGACAAGTTGGATATATACTGCATGCCGATAAATACAATCCGAGTGAGTGAAAAAGAGAATCTTTCCCACGGCTAGAAGAAAAGTAACAAATGGAATAAGAAACGCATGCATGTAAAACAACAGATCGCTAACATGATAGGCCACACCTGCCCGTCTTGCAGGGTATACTTACAAAATCATAAGGATTTAATAAAAAAAACACGGTAATGTGTCAAATGTATTTTGCTTTGAACAATGTTCATAGTTTTATTTATTGTGTTTTTTTTACTGATTCTTGTATTAATTCAATCATTCATTTATATATGTACTTCATAGAATTGTTAATGCTTATATCTAAAGTTTTCATATAATTTTAATTTCGATATTTGTGGTTTTTTATATTCATTTTGCTTTAAAATCACCATCATTCAATAATAGTAATATTTATATTTTTTTACTTAAATCTTCAATTATTCTTACGTACATTATGCTGTCTCTCTCAATTGAACTTCTGTCAAATATTTCACTGCTAATGCTTACACACATATTTACCAATATCCTGCAGTTTTTTAACTCTAATGTATTTATGTAGGTAATTTGACTTACTCCTCAACTTGAATTGCTGTGCATACACATCTTAGCATTAACAGTTTTGTTTTTTCAAACCAGACGACTTTCGATATTTTTATACACGAATTTTATTTTCGAACATTCGTCCGAATCGTTCTTTTCTACAATAGTACCCCAAATTACATTTAGATATTGTTCTTTATATCGTTCATTGATTTCTATAATATTTTGGTTGCTTTCTTGTCAAAATAATTAGAAACGTGTATGAAAATGAAAAATGTTATAGTAATTTATCTTCGCTCAGACGACTTAATTTCAAAACTATTTATGCATCTTTCACATCTCTATAACCAGCTCATCAGCCGTTAGATTTTTGCTTATATGGTCTATTTTTGATTTCATTAAATTTTATTCAGTTAAAACTACTCTTCCATGATAAAATGAACATTTAATTTCAAGTTTTACTTAACATACATTTTTATGTGTATATGCATTCTCGTATGCTCCACGCTCTTTAAAGTTTGGTAAATTTTTACTATATATTGTTGGTTACTTATTACTTTACAAATTCGCTTGTTTATATATATTTGCTGTTGAACTTTTTTGTGGTAAACTTTTTTTTTTAGAAAGTTTATATTTTCTTTGGATGCTTTTTGCAAGGACCATAATTGTGTGAAAATCATAAATAATTACATTGTTGTTGTTGTATATGTATACAATTTGCATCACATGATTTATCTCATGTAGATATCTCTCTTGAATTTGCAAAGTTTTTTTAGTTATGTTTAAATTTACGTATAGTAATAATAACTTTTGCTTAGAAAATTAACAGCAAATGCTTTCCTTGTATAGTTGTTGTATCTGTAGTTCTGAGTTAACAATACAAATGTCCATTTAATGTGTGTATTTATTTACATAATTAGCATTAATTATTAAATTGATTTAGTTTCATCATTTACTTTGTTTCTCGCAAATTTTTTCGTTCAAATAGTCAGTTTTTTCCCAAATTGTCTTCCCTTTACGCCTGTAAGTATAGGAAGTAAAAAATATAACTAAATCGAGATTAGAAAAATAATCCATCTTGAGCTAATGCGCATTTATTTTAGCTCCTCTGCCATTCTTCATGAAATAAAATATGGAATTTTTTCTTATAAAACCTTCTCTTACCTATTCAGTAGTTCGTTTCTTCTGGGTATTTGCACTCACAAAAACTTCATTCGACCATAGGTAGTAAGGCATGATACAGAAAACAAGTTAGTTTCACTCAAAACTTTTTTCAAAAATATTATCCAACTGATATAAAGAGATTTTTTGACATTTGCTTTATTTCCTAAACTAAAAAAATATATTACAAATATACAAATCTTTCAATGTAACCAAAAAATAAAGAAACATAAACGTACTCACAAAAAATTCTAAGGCTTTGTACTGTATTTTCTGAAATCTAATCGAAATAAAATTATAATGTTTTTAAAGTGGCAATATCTTGAAGTTAAAATGAAAACAAGATATAATGTCAGAAAATCTTTTTCTGTAAATTTTCTATTGGGTGAAACTACCTCCTTTTTTGTACCATTGGCAGAAGCTTCCGTTAAAGACTTATTATTGAGAGGAACTACTTTTAAAAAGTCAATGAATGATGTACTGGATGATTGATAAATTTCAATATTGTTGAGCATAAAACTCAACTTTCGTTTAAAGTACGTTTAGCGAATTGCAATAATGGCTTCACTAATTACGGAAGCCGGCTTATAACTAAGCCTTTGATATTGACCTTTCAACATTGTTGCTGGAACTCGCTATTGAAGATATGCTCAAGTAACTTTTCGATATTTTGTAATGTATTATTATTTCTTAATCAAATGGACATAGTATACATATTTGTTGTTGTGCTAGTGTGACCACTAGTTAATGAATTCGCTACTATCCGTTGGAGATGCTTCGGTATGCATGATAAAATGATTTGGTTAGAACATTGTTCATCGCTTCTGCACTTTATTTCTTACGAAAAACATCGGCATACTGCTTTTGTATACGATTTACTCTTTTATTGATGAAAAATGGGAAAGCTTGAACATGGAATGGATAATTTCAATTGATTAAATTTTTTATACAATCAGCAATATTTTGAAATAAATCAAAAAAAAAAAGCATTGAAAAATCGTAAGGAGTCAATTTATATGTCGCCCTGAACAAATGTAGATTAATTGCAACAAAAATAAAATACATTGATGAAGGTCGAGAAGCGAAAACCAATAGACTTACCGTAAAATACAATACATAAAATAAGCCAAATATTTTTACCAACCGAAAAAAGATTTCTTAAGAGACTTAATGCTTTTCATGTTTCGACTATATACATACATATGTATTGTATATATGAATGTAGATTCCAAATTCTTCTGTAAAAATTTTAGTCCCGAAATTTTGTATAAGAAATTTTGTATAAGAAATTTTGTATAATTTTACTTAATAACGTGGTAGATTTAATCATAGGAGAGTAATTAAGTAATTGTTATTAACTTCTCCGTCGACCAGTGTAGTTAATTAACTGCTGGTTTGTGGTTTGTGGTTTGTGGTTTGCGGTTTTTGGTTTAACATAAAAAACTAATCCGTCTTACAAATTCGCCCATGATTTTTCTTACCAAGTCAACATTGTTGTTATACATGAATGTTTTTGATATTAATAGAAAGTTGTATTTTATCTACCAAAAGTTGTTTTGGTTGTTGTAAATACAATATTTGTAATATATTTCTTAGTTATCTATTTTTGTTTTTGGTTTATCCATGAAAGGTTTGTTTCTTAAATATTTCATATTTTATATTTTTCTTTACATTGATTTTATAATATATATATATATATTTGTATATATATAGTATAGTGTAAAATATATTTATATATGTATATATATATAAGATATTGTCAATATAGTGAAGGTGTTTGTCAGGAATTCCATCGCAGAAGAACGCGCAAAGAATTCGTTATAGCAAAATTGTGTGTGTAGGTTTATTTATAAATATGTATGTAAGTATGTATGTATATGTGTCTTTGTGTGTATTCATATGAAAAAGTGTTCATATATATACGTGTATGTATGTATATTCATCGAAATTATATAGGTTTCATATATTATTCTGGTAATTCATCAATATAAATATTATACAATTTGTCGTTGCTCAGAGGTTAATAAAATGAAAGAACGTCGATAATTAGTATTGTGTATGTATGTGTGTTTATTGTATGTATGCATTGATCACTAAAGGGTTTCATGAATATATTGCACTCCATATGTATGTATGTAAATACATACATATAAATAGTACTTGGCGTTGTGGTAAGGCAAATGCTAAAGTTGTGAAAAAATACTTTTTAAAGCTGCGGAATTTATGTATGTACATATACATACATATATATGTATACATATGTATATTTATATACATTCGTGTACGAGTATGTGTGTATATAATCTATTTTTTTTTCTCGAGAAGTGATGGTGCATAAAAATGAGGACCTCCAGAAATAAATGAAAAACGATTTCACTAATTAAATATTCAAAGATAACAAGTGAAATATCCCTTAACTGACAGTTAACGTTTGGATTTATAATAAATATATATGTAAACTTCTGCTATTTTACTTTCGAATAGCCTATTTATTGATCTCATGTATGTATGTGTAAGCTGATTATTGAATAAAAGTTTGCATAGTTCATAAATGTACCTACATACACATTTAACTAATGTGAAAAAATTTTGTAAATTATGTAAATTATGATGTTTCAAAGATTTCCTTCGGTCTTCGGTCGGCTTTAGAAAAAGGAGAAATGATATGTGTGTATGTATACTGTATTAGTTTAATTATATTATATGTATGTGTATGTATATATTTTCATAACTTTTAACTTTGTTCTCATTTACGTTCGTACATACGTTCTTGAGTATAAAATTGTGACATTTCTTATTAATTGCTAGATTTTTTTCTTTTTCTTTTATTTTTAAGTATTTTTTTCTTTTCATAAATTGTCTTTTCATGCAACAGGGTTTCCGTTCTTGCCTTGGCTTAATCTTAATGGCTTTTTTATAGTATTTTATATGCTGTTTTGACCTAAATTGACAAAAGTCCGGTTGTGCCATGAGGGCATGTACCACCAGTAAACTTATGTATGTATTATCGTATTATATAAGCAGGCCCGATTGCACGTCTTTTTAGTTGAATAAATATAAAACTTCAAGTATTTAAAGCTTTTGCGATTTATCGCTTTCAAAAATGCGGAGGCGTTGCGCCTTTCGTATTTATATTTAATACATTTCAAAATTGCTCTAATGAAAAAAAGCTTAATTGGAATAAATACAAAACTTGAATAAATGCTTAAAAGCTTAACAGAAATTAGTTTTACATACAAACAATTCTTTATGCTGTTTATTCGATTTTTCTTCTTCTTATGCATTATAATTATATTTGTTGTTAATTGACTAAAATTGATTTTGTTCTAAAGGACGTGTTTTTCATTTGACTATTCAAGATTTTTTTTTTATTTATGTTGCTAGTTATTCTATATTTTCTTCAAAATATCATATAAATGAGTTGCGAAAAAAATTCAAATTCAAGCAAAATATGCATGTATGTACAGTACAGTTTTTAATTTTAATGAAATAACAAATTATTTGTAAATTCCGACTCTTACGTAAATTAAATTCAAAGTCGATAGCAACAATCATATAAACCGTAGATTGAAACTGATATTTTTCCGGTGATCTGTAAAAAGAAAAATGCCGAATCTCTTAAATTCTCATTGGGCCATATTTCAAGGTATTGGCACATATTTTTTCAGCAATTGTTGCACTTGTTAAATATATATGTATGTACATAATTCACGCTTTGTAAACGTTTAATCGATTTTTGGGCGAACGTTTCCTCCATATTTCGTGCGTGCTTTGACGTTTGCCATACAAATTAAGGCTAAATCACCAGCAACAGTCTGAGGGCTTTTACTATGCGTTCGAATCGACGTTTTAGTATGGAACAAAAAAATTGGTAAAAGATTGCTGAATCAAAGGAAGCTTAATTCAAACCAACCAGATAAAAGTAAGTAAAGAAAATATCGAAGGATTATGACGTTTGCTGCTAACATTCCAAAAGATTGCTCACTTTTCGTTTCATTTCACTGTTTGTTCTAATAAAGTGGCATAAACAAAATGTGTTCCCGAGGCTTTTGTCCGGTTTCTAGCGTGATTCAAATTTTTGTGGGAAAAATAATACACATTGTGCATAGTTGCCTGTTGCACAAACACTTTCAATTTTTTTTTTGAGACTCTAAAATCAGCTTTCTAAAAATTTTGTCATGCGATGAATCCATTTTATGGATGATTTTAATAGGCTTATATAAGCGTTAAAACTCAATGTAATAAAATAATTTTTGAAGTTAAAATTCATTTAGCAGTTGCATTGAAATCATTTATTTTTAAACGGAAACTATTTTATTAGGATACGCTTTACTGGCGATTTAGCTGAAAAACGACATGCTTGTAAATTGAAGGGCATTTTTCAAATAGTAATTTCTAAACAGTCAGTTGTTTGCCACCATTTTAGATTTTTAGGGTATCGCTATTAAGGGTAATCCTTTTTTGGGTTAATACTTTTATATATAATATTTTTTCCTTAGCATTTATAGATAAATATTTGCTTTATATGTATATTTTGTATATAACATTAGACTATATTTTATTTTATATTGATTATTTTTTACCAATACATAATGTTTTCACAATATTATATATATATATATCTTCTTGTTGTTTGTAATTATTGCTTTTAGAACATTTCTTAAAAATATATATTTATGCATTTTTGTAATATATGTATGTATGTGTGTATTCATATATATATATATATGTTTGTCGTTTTAACTTTAGTACATTTTCGATCCAGAGTTTTTCTTTAGTATTTTTTGCATTTGTTTTACCTATATTACACATGTTAAGCATTTACCATATACATTATATATACATATGCATATATATGTGTACACACATATACGATGTATATATCCCGTATACACATGTAATTAGTTTTTGCTCTTTTATTGGTGTATAAATTTATAATTATGTATATTTAAATATTCCTTACTGATTTCAGCCGGCCACAATGGCGTTTTAGCAATAATACAGGAATTCGTATCTATTTATTTATGTAATAGTTTAAATTTTTGTGTATGGGTGTATGAGATGCATACTCTTCATACTTAATATTCATTATATTATATATAAGTATGAGCTAATGTTCAAGTGTATATTTGTAAACATTTGCAAATTGGGTGTATATGTGTGTATGTATGTTTGTTTTTATATAAGAGTATTGGACAACTCAACATCCCATTTAGCAATTAAATACTTTAATATACAATATATTATTTTATATTTTGTATTTCAATTTTCTTGAAATAATTCTTTTTATATAAATGTGTATTTTGGTTAGAATAGTTTTGGTTTTGTTTTTATCCTCATTGATTTTTTTGTTTCTTTTTATTTTATTAAAGTAACATCATTGGACAATTGTCATTCAATTAAGCATCACACCGTCATTTGACTGACCTTTCAAGCTACCTACAATTGCATGGGTGCTAGTAGTCGATCAATCTTTAAGCCACTTTGGCTATTAAACAAAAAACTTCAACTCTGCCTTTGCATGATTTATCCATTAGCTGCTCTCTACACTTCGCCTAACTATTATGCTTCGTCCAATTCTATCTACGAGCACAGGGTTTTAGCAAGCTTAAGCTTCACCAAAAGCTTAAGCACAGTTTCTTCACTAATAACAATATCTGATTCTGATTCTGCATCTTCTATTTAGACTTTTGTTTTACTTTATTCGTTACTATATTTAATTTTTATTTTTATTACATTATTTTCTTTGCAGTTGCTTTGCCACAATTTCATCCTATCTAAAAACTACAAATTTCCTTAAATTTCAGTTTTTAAGTTATTTTCTCATTAATTAATTTTGTCTTTGGTGCTTCAAAATCCCAGCACTGTAATATGCAATTGACGCCACTAAATCGCTAAGCTCGGCCAAGAACCAGGTTGACGTCCAGGCTAGGTGAGCTGCCCTCTACAGTATACCAATTCAAAGCATTATGCACTTTTATGAAATTAATGTATAAATGTATGTATATATTCACATTCTTCATCGTTTTACTCTTCAAATACTAATATGTGTGTAGACAATTTGCTTTGTTTGAAAGCATATTGCTTCGCTTGGTTTTAAACACTTTTGTCACTTAAGGTTACTCATTTTTCTAATAATAACGTTTTTCATTTTAATTTTTTATTTTTGTGTTTTCAATTTATTTATTTATAAATACCTCCCACTCTTGATCGATCCCAGTTTACTTGCATTTTTTCTTTTCTTCTGCTGAATTTGATTTTTTGGCTTACAGTTTCTACTTTCATTGCAGTATTTAATATATAATATAATACTTTTCCTCTTTCCATTACCCGTCTGACAGTAGCAATTCAAAATATTGTTATCCTTTTTTGGATTGTTGATCGCTACACTTGAACATACATACATATTTAAACTCTTATTTAACTAGAAATAATTTTCTCCATAGCATCACGCTTGATTTAACAAAGTTATTTCATAGCATTTTTGCCTTTTTGGTATACTTTTTTATATTTTTTTATAATTTCACAAGTATATAATCCTCACATATTTATGTATATATTGTTATCAATTAATCTGTTTATTTAATATATTTATTTAATATTTACTGTAAGTATGTATGTATGAAGTGCCGTACTATTAAAATTGGTGTTTCAAATTATTACCGCTAGATTTGTTATTTTTCATTATGTATATTTATGCATGTATTGTATATATTGTAAGTATTTTGTTGTAAGTAGTATTAAGCAAGTGTTCCATTGCTGTCAGACGCTTGCTAACGGTGCATTATCGAAAACATGTTTTAATTGCATTTTTCTTATTGCTGTTTTTGTTGTTGTTGTCGTCGTCGTTTGACTTTCGCCAAAAGCTTTCGCCGGTTATTGACCGTTTTTATGCTTCCTATTTTAATAAATTTTCAATTATTTTAGTTATTGTTGTTTTAAAGTATTCAGTTTATTATTCTGTTCTGTGTGTATGCTCTTTTAATTTAATGATTTTTAATAATATGTTCATTGTAAAAATTGTTCACTAAAAATCTTAGACGAGTGAACAGTTTTTTTGGCAAATTTCATAGGACTCACTGATTACAGGTTCATTTTTGTTTCTTATGAGGATGTAGAAAAAAATTTGTCAATCAACATTTAAAGAGTGCCAAGAGCTGTGGATATTGCAAAAGTACTGTTTTTTTTTGTGATCGGACTTTTTTTTTTATGTAAATGAAGGAATTAATTTTAGCCCGATATGTTGAGGATGTAATCAATTTCCCGTCGGCTTTTTCGATATAATTCTTAGGATTACTAAACTCAAAAGGGCGGCTAAACAAATTTCTGAAGGTTTAAACAGAGAGAAAGAGTGACTCTTTTTCTGCTGTTTGTTTTAGCAGGTTTATGCAAACTCTCAGCGTTGGGTTCCTCCTGATAAATGTTGCAGTTTTAATTTTATTTTTTCAATTTAGCATAATCAATGGTTTAATTTGTTTTTGTAACTGCACACATAAACAAACATCCATTTATTGAATACGTATATTTTAGCTAACTAGTTCAAAACGTTACGGATGGCATTACATATAAGATAAACTCAAAAAAAGCCAGAATTCACTATAAAAGCTAGCGGGTGGCAATAAACGTCCAACGCTTAAACTGAAACTGAGCGAGAAAGCAATAACGTTTGATCTTAAGCAGCGAGCGATATGTTAGTTTATGAGAAGTGCCACTTAATTTGTTCAAATAGAAATATGTACATGCATTCTCTATGAATTGTTGTAGTGTTGAACGTAATTTCAGAGGTTTGTGAGTTTTATTTATATACGCATACACGTAGATCCAACGAAATAAACGTCTGTGCGCATTAGCAGTTGATTTTGATTGATTTGAAAGTCGCAAATTGTGTAAATTTGGTTACACGAAGAAATTATTAAATATTTTATAATATTATATTTAATTTGAATCGTTCTCAAACAGCTGAATGTCTAGTATTACGATCATGTGTTGGTTCGAAAGCCTGCATATAACAAGTGACACATATTTAATATATTAGTTACGATATCGGTTTCGACGCGCTCAAGGGGTCAAAACTTGACCACCGATGAGCATGGAGGGGTAGATATTTGAACTAATATAATAATAATTTCATGACTATCCAATCAATATTATTGACTCTTTAAGGTAAGTAATTAAGAACGCATTCAAATATGTAGGTACATACATGCGTATGCATTTGTTTGCTTTCATGCTTCTGTTTGCTTAAAACCGTAAAAAAGCTTATTGGAATTAATTCAATGTTCAATAAATGCATTGGCAAACAATTAATTATGAAATTTACACAATCAACCTATCAGCAATTGTTCATCCACAAATTATTTGAGTTTCAAAATGATTTACAGTCTTGCTTGACCTTTTAACATATGTAGAAATGTGTGGATTTCGAAAGTGTTAATCATACGACATGGCGATTTTTGTTACTTTTGGATGGGTTCTCAATTAGGAGGTGCATTTGATTTAAATATTTCACAAACTAACTAACGCCAGCGCTGCTTTCCGCTCGATCCATTTACCTTAGATTTGTTTTTACATATGTAAGTGTATGTATGAGTGTAATTGATTTGCAATTAAAATTTGCTGCCATCTTTGTTTTAAAATTGTGAAAGTAGATATTAACATAATTTTATTTTTATTAACAAATAACACAATACCTAACGTTGCTCGTATATGAGTGTGTATGTATGTATATCATTACTTACATAAGTAAGAATCTCAATACATTTGCGTGATTCTTGTATACATAGCGTAAGTATGTATGGTTATATGTTTCACTTAATTAATAATTTATTCTAAATATTTTAATATTAATATACATATATATATATATATATATATATATATATATATATATTTGTATGCTTGTATTTGGTGTATTTGGCTATCTTATTCTTGTGTTGACTTCTGGTAACTTTTTCAACTTCCTGTGTGCTTTTTAATTCCACGCCATCCCAAAAACGCATTTGTTGTCAAATTTGTCTATTATTTTTTAGATTCATTATTGATGCTGACATACAAATTATTACGATGCTATGCCAATGCTTAATGGTATCCATTTGTGAACGCCGCAGGAATTAGTGGTCCCTGTAAAGAGTAAACAAAAAGAAAAAGACAAACGAATGCAGAGAGAGACATAGACAGTAAAGCGGTGCAAGAGATAATAGAGAGATATAGATAAAGAAGAAGGAAAAATAGTAAAGAAACAAGATTAATTAACTTATTACCTTAAATGTTTCAAAAATTGCTCAAGTTAAATTATAAAAATAAATTTCAATTAAAAATCTTTAATCGAAATGAAGTTTAGGGTAATGTAAAATACGTAATATAATTTAACTGAGAACGTATAATTTGGTACTGCAATAAAGTAGATTGTATATGTGCAAATATGTATATTTTCACTTGAAAATGTGAGGGAGCCGCAAAGTCTGAAAATAAATCGACTTGTATGCCCCAATTAGCGAATTGATATCTTAAGTTGGAAGAAATGGCTTTAAAAATTTGTAAAAATTTTTTTTTTACCTCAAAAAAGCACATTTTATATATGCGAACCTTGCTTGTTATTTTGATCTAGTTGGGATGATAAATGAAACATTTTCAGAAATAGGTATTACGGATGTTAGGCGAAATTATGAATATGTATATGTCACTTACGAGAAGATTTACCTTCAATTTTAAATTAGCTTAAATTAATAACTGTTTGAAAACTGCGATTTGTAGCGGAAGATGCACATACATATCATGAAAGTAGATTTAGACTAAGACAATAGATTGCGAGTTAAATGAAAATTTGAAAATCTCTGGATAAAACCAGACAACAATCCTTTGGGATTATAGCTTACAAGCACAGAAGAATAACTATCTCCGCTTATGGGGACCATTCTACCTAAAAATTATAATTAACTTTACTAAAAACAAAAAATGTGCGAAAAATATTTTGATCTTCTGTGTGTCTACACTAAAACTTTGCTTGGTTTTGAGCATTCGCCTACCTTGTGCAACTGCTTATACGTATATTTCTGTCTATGTTTTGTTGGTTAATCAGTCTTATTCATTTTATATGTTAGCCATCGCAAAGTTCAACGAATATATCTGTGCAAAGCAAAAAAGAAATAGAGAGAAGCAGAGAAAAAGAGAAAGGAATAGATTTCCATTTATTAATTCAGAAATATTTTATGTGACTGACCAACAGAAAAACGTGTTATTTTTGGAAATCATCTATTTAATATATTGATTAATATTTTTAAATTTTAGATATTGTTTTACATAGGTGTGTTTAAATAATTTTTGGCCGATACTAATTTAAATTGCTTTAAGGAATTAGAAAATTACATTTTTTTCAATTAAAAATTTTTAATTCCTAAAATTGCTGAATTGGACTGTTATATTAATTGGATCGAAAAGTGGTTGCACAAGTTCGCAGTTCTTTGAGTGTTTTTAATTTTATTTCTTCTAAGCAAATTAAATATTTTGTGTCCAACTTTTCGCATTTTATTAAAGTTACATAGTATAATCCTTTTCCGGTGTCAGTGTTGGTTGAACCTTATGTGATTAGATAACTTACCGGACTGTAGTTTAATGGTGCCCGACTAACGGCTATTGGAAATCCAGAGGGTTGCGGACTGGTTGCCTGTACATAACCGACGTTGTCGGCAGCGTTAGAGCTGTACATATCAATGGTTGGACCAGGAGAGTTGGTCGAAGGAAAACCTTGTCGGGTGGTGGTGGTGTGTGGGGATGCAGAAGGCCCAAAGCTATGGGCTGCTGCGGCTGCAGCTTGATAATTATTCATCACTATAAAGATAAAAAGGAAAACATTTCATTTTTCAACTGAAAACTTTTTAGAAATACTAATTATTTTATTCACACATCACAATACAATAAACTGTTTTAATGGGATTCCTATAATGGAGAAGACGGCTCAACATCTCGATGATAAGAAATTTAGTATAAAATACTGCACCAAGACGTTGCAAATAAATAGCCATAATCACTGTTTATAACTAGATGGAAATGTTAAGTGAAAGCCACCTGGAAAAGTCGACTAATCGGTTGTCGGAATCGTACTCGCATCTGTACCATATAGCGGGAAGATTGATGAGGTTGGTCTTATAGAGCGTAGTTTTGGTTCTTCGAGAGAGGACTTTACTTTCTTATTGCCTTCTCAGTCCAAAGTAGCGCCTGATTTCAAAGCCGACAATATTATTGGTGTTGATGCTAGTTTCTACAATAGCTAGACGAAATTGTCCATTACCTCAAAGTTATGTTATTAGGGACGTGGGAGCCAAGACGCAACTGCACTGACTTTTGGTTTGATGACAGGAGCCATTTCGTCATGTCCTCGTTCTCTGCCAGACCCATACGCTTCGATTCCTTCGCAGAACTCACTATGTCCGGCAACAGTTGTAGAAGATTGTCGTTCTTTATTTAGGTCTTCAGCAGAGTTACCTCATTTGAAGACTTGTTTAGAACCGAATGACTCGGAAAGCTTCTTCCCAATGCTATCTGCCGGTATTGTCCAGCGTCAGCTGAAACCGTCGTTCATGTATTGCTGGGATCCCAAATTCTGACATATTGAATGCAGCTCTTTGTTGTGCCATTGAAGGCAGCTATGAAATCGGTGAAAAAGTTGTGTGTGTCGAGCTATTTTCCAAGATTTGGTGCATAGAAGCTGATGTATGCACCTTTTCAGTTCCTTGCCACCATAACTCTGTCAGTAAACCATCGGCTCCAACACCGCTGTCATAATCAGGTACAGGAACGTCTTTTCCATCATCATCGATTGTGGTTTCAGATTCACCATCTCTGGGTGTTAAGCTTCCACTGCCATTCTGCTGACTGAAATTTTTTTTCTCCATAAACCAAGTATGCTCTTTTTTGCCACCTCGCTTTCTGCATTAATACACGTATGCTGCGGACTTTTCTGTGACCGGCCGTACCTTTACTACCTTGTTGGGAAAAGTCGACTAATCAGTTGTCGGAATCGTTCACGCATTTGTACCATATAGCGTTTTATGCACATCAAATTGTATATTAACTTTGGTCCAAAATATGTAAGTACCAAAAAAGAAGAGGTAAACCTATCAAAATATATACCGATCTTGTCCGAATGACTAGTTGAGTTGATTTAGCCATGCATGAAAGTTCGTGGAGTCTTCCTCTGCTTCCACCGAGTACTGCATCGAAAACTTTCAATCCATCCGGATCACATGACTTGGTCAGCGTAGCCGCTGTTTCTTGATTCGCTGAATTATGTCAATGGCGCCGTATATCTCGTACCGCTCATCGTTCCATCGGCTGCGGTATTCGCCGTTCCCAACTCGTAGAGGACCGTAACTCTTACGCGAATCTTTTGTATCGAAAACTTCAAACGACGACTCACCAGATGTTGTTATTATCCATGTCTCCGCACCATATAGCAGGACGGGAACGATGAGGGACTTGTAGAACTTGGTTTTCGTTCGTCGAAAAAGGAGTTTACTTTTCAATGGCATACACCTGATCAGTTATTCACCGCCATGTTTGAATAGGTCTGCCGGTATGCCGTCAGCTGCAGCCGCTTTTTTTTCTGTAAGCGGGAGATTTCTATTCGAACTTCTTCATGGTCAGGTAATGGACCGTCTTTTCTATCGTCATCGATTGAGGTTTCGGGTTCACCGCCATTCAGCAGGCTGGAGAAGTGTTCCCTCCACTCTACATGGCTATATACAAATAAACATGACGCCCAAAATCATCGAATCAACTTTTTTATATATGAGTGTTAATATTCAATCTCAAAATGGTCACGAAAGGTATGGCTGATGACAGCTCTTGCTCCTTGTGTTCTTTGCAAATGCGTCCTGTTACCCTTTCAATCCTCGGTATCTATCCACCCCGCAAGTGTTGCGGTCAATCACAAAAACTAGTTAGTTAAAAATAAACAAACAGTGAAGAGCACTGGATACTAAATTCAATGCAACGTCACAAGCTCATTGGAAGTGTTATCAGTGTGATTCTGGAAACAGTTGATATCATTGAGGATAAGACTTTGCTCGAAGCGAACGTTGGAAAGATTTAATTATACCATTTCTCCTTTCTGGCAAAAGTTGCAGCTCTATATATGGGCTTTAAGGCAATCCGGGCTCAGCCTTGAAAACAAAGGCCTTCTTTATAATGCGAGTCTAAAACCTATATGGGCGGCCGCGGTAGCTAAGTGGTTAGCGTTGCGTGCTGGCATTCGGAAGGCCTGGGTTTATTTTCCGGTGTCACCAACATCCAATAAGTAATGAAAATTTAATTTAAAATAAAAATTAAGCTAAATTTTCTAATCCCGGTCGCTTCTCGGTAGGGAATGTCCACCCCTCCGAGTGTATTTCGGACTCGAAATAAAGGCTCGCATTCATCTCAAATTTAGATTACTGTAAGTTGGTACATTAATTTTTACACAAGGAAATTGTCATCACAAACACCTTTGAGTCGGTTGAATTTTTTTGATTTCAGAGTGAAGAATTCAATTTCAAATACAGTTGCGACAGGAAAGGTGAATAATTTAAAAATGGCCGAAATTCGTTCATTTCCGTACGAATTTGGCAAACCTTCGTCAAAAATTATCAAAAATTATTGGTGGTAATAGATAGATTTTTAGATTGTTGAGGTTCGGTTGAGCTAATTAGAAAAACTGCTTAAAAAAATACAAAGTATCTATGAGATCGTGATTTATATTCAGGAAACTAAAATGAAGTACCTTAGTAGATATGACCGAAAAAGCAAAATTTTTGAAATGCAGTAAATGTGGAAAGGATATGTTAGACCAAAAAAAGTGGCGTTCAGAATCTTTGGGAAATGTGGAAGATGGGGACAAACATAAAGAAGGTACATGACTCAACATGTTTATAGTGCAGCGAATTTGCATATGCCTCAAACTAACCAATAATTGGTTAGCGTGTATTTGAATCACCGGAGTAAATCCTTCTTTTTTTTACGACGAACCCAGCGTTGCCTACCTCCCGATCAACCGACTGAATGGCGCGTCTGAGGGAAATCGAAAAATCTAACAAACCGGTGACCGAAAACCAGTGACAGTCCGGACTGCCCTGAACCCGAAACCGATCGCGGAAGGTCGCGGTCAAGTTGCAAAAGCTTTTTATACTCAATAGAATGAACTGATTTAAAGAGCTTGACATCATCTGCGTACAAGAGTCTTTTAGAATGACGAACAACATTTGGAAGGCCATTGATGAGTATAAGGAAGAGTAAGGAACCGAGGCATTAGACCTTGTCTAATGCTTTGCTGAAGCCAGTGTAGATAACATCTGTTTGATTTCCATTTTTGAAACCATTACTGACATGGATGGTGTAGAGGATAGATTTACCTTTGCAAAACCCATGTTGTGAGATGTCTGTAATTGATGACACTGAATGGGCTAGTTGTTCAGTTATAATAGTATGTAGTACTTTTACGTAATCAAAAGAAGGCATTAAGTAAGGGCTGCAGGGTTGAGTTTGTGTTCGGCACATAATTAGATTCGAAAAAGGATGCGAACATATCTACGATTCTGTAACAATCGTTAGAATAAGCACCATAATCAGAAATTTTGCCGGACTTTTTATAGAGCTTGAATAATCTAGTCTTCTTATGATAAACATCTTCGGGCAAAACGAAAGCATCACAGCGACTTAAAGAAAATGACGAAACATTATCCAAATATATTAGATCCAGAGTCTTTCCAGACTTATTATGGATCTATTTATTTAAAAAAGGCCCAGATCAGAAAGTCCATTTAGAAAATCATGTTTTAGTAATGGAACATAATGATTTTAACCTTGATGACAGAACAGAGTAAGTAAAAAATTCAGAATTTGGCGACAATAGAAATATTTTTATTAATTAAAAGTATTTTACCACAAAGGACTTCCATCGCTTCCAATTTCGCAAAATGAAACTCTTCCGCAGCAAGGTCAGTTTGAACACCAATAAGTACTCCACCACCAATTTTATTTAAGCGGTCATCTCTAAAAATTTCAAAGCTGTTCCCTAAGATTTCAGAGTTGAAGACAACTGGTTTAAGCCAAGTTTCGGAGAAAACCAAAATTTTCAGCTTAGTCTTCAAACCTCTTACGTTTTGATAGTAGATATTCAAGTTAATATCTGCTAACAGTTTTTTGGCTCAGAAGAGACTACAGGTAATTGAGCAAGATTATTGCTAATCGTTCTTTGCATTAAATCAAACTCTCGGATAAAGGCACCATTCGGCCAAAAAGATGAGTTCAAAAGAACGTAGAAGAACTCAGCGACTAAACGTCTATTTTAAAGGAAGCTCTAGAACTTTCATAGGAATAATTGAACTTCCTAATATCCAAACTGACTGTATTTAATTTACCTGATATATAGGATCGCACGTCATCTGCAGTTGTATCTTTTGCAAACCGCTACACAAATATGGACTGCATTTTCGGAACCACAACTAGTTGAGGCCGAGGGAGGTACAGAAGGAAGTAAACCCTCCGGAGCAACGACTATTTCAACATGCTTAGATGCAGTCGAAGTAGTGGTAGAGGAAGGGGTAGGTGCAGAGAGAAGTGGACTTGAAGTCGGATTGTTTGCTACTTCTAATGTCTTAGCGGTAGCTTTAGTTACACAGCCCTATAGGGTTTGGAGGATTTTGTTCCCCGTGGCAAGGGGAATTAAATGACATCAAGTCTTAATTTAAATTCGAACTGATTAAAGAATTTATAAGAGCATCTGAAGCAGTAACTGGATTTATAACTATCCTATCTTTACTATGTTTTCGCTTCTTGGACCCTGGCTTCATTTCCGGGGAATCAGAGTGACCAATGCATTTAAAAGATTTAAATGCGTCTTCATATTTTTGAAATTTTTCGGTAAGGACTTTCAAATCCTTCCCTATTTCCAGAAAGCCACTCCTTGTAGTTTCAAAAAGTTTAAAAATGTCAATCTCAAGGTTTCTACATTTTTGGCATGGCCAGCGAAGGCCAGTGCCATTTTGTATTAAGCCGAGGACACGACCGTTTAAGCCGGCGCATTTAGCGTGTGCTAACTCATCGCAAAGCCAACAAGAAATATAACGCTCGGCATCACTTTTCAAATTACACTTTTCGAACGAACAGGCCATCTTTTATATAAAATAAAAGTAATAAATTTATTTTTATAAAAAATTTTAAATAAATATAATTTATAAAAGAAAAATAAAAAAATAAAAGTTACAAGATAAGATATGTAAATGTGGTGAAACCGTTTTCCAAGAAGTTTGAAGGATGCGACAAATTGCTATAGCTTTCGAGAAGCAAGTATAATATAAAAGGAACTATATCAGTGGAGAACGCAGAAGAATTTTTCGGAGGGTGTTTTCGGAGAGGGAGAGAGGCAGTTTCTTTTTGCTCTGGCTTACTAGTTTGGTGAGCTTTTTTTCAAAGCAGTTAATTTTATTTAATTAAAGAGTAAAAATGTTTTGAAATGCTAAATCCAAAATTGTTAATAATTTAATTTTTGCCAACGAAACAGAATAAGTCGCTGATTTGCATGTTACCAAGTAACGTAAAAAACTGTCAAGCTATTCAGACTGGTTACTCGGCAAAACAATAATCTCTTAATTTTACAGTAACAAAAAACATGCACAAAATATTGAATAACGCATTAACAAAACCCATGTTATATACTCATATGGTTGTAAAAGAATGTTCCCCCTCAGGCGTAATCTTACAGACCAATGAGCCAACCGCCCTGTATTTTTATTTATTCGAAAGAATTATTCTATCTTTCTCCATTGTAACAAAACGATACCAGAACACCAATTCGATTTTCGTGAATAATATGGTATATAGAACAAGTCAACCAAATTCCCAATGTAACTAGGAAGTCAATCGATTTAAAGGAGAATTGCCATGCAATACTTCTTGACGTAGCACAAGCGTTCGACGAGGTTTATTTGTAAAACTCTGTTTAACTCATATTCTCAACGTCCGGTCGAACGGTGTATGAGTGCAAAGAATTATATATATTGGAAAAAATATTGAAACTGCAGAGAAATTTGACTGTAACCTAATTACAAAAGAAAAATAAAACCCATAATTGTGGGATTGGAGAAACCATCCGTATAATTTTTAACCCTAACCATTGACTAAACTATACAAAAAACTACGTAGCAATGACGAAAGTGTTAAGAAGTAGCCGTGAAGTTCAGTAGAAGTTCAGTACATTTGTAGACGCGAACCGTATTACACGACATACTTTGTTAATTAAAATATCCTCATATCTCATATCTAATTTTGTATTATTAAATCGTTATTATTATATTTAACAAAAGCCTCCTTTATAATGTATACGGAGTTCTATTTTAATATTGAAAGACTTCATAGTGAAGAATGTGGATGGTTTGTATGTCAAAAATGGCGCACATTAATCTTCCCAGTAATTTAACTCTACGCTCAATACATTCACTATCGATTACCTGGCTTCCGACTAATTTCGACGTTTCATTATAAGTTTTGAAACTCTTATACTATGCCCTAATCAAACCATGACTACTGAATTTTGAATTGCCACACTCAACACATTGTATATTTCATCAATATTATTGAGGATTCAACTTAAATCTGCATCGGGAAGTTTGTATTTGAGCTGTCGGAATAAGTCTGCACATAAATTAAGTACATAAAAAATGAAATTTAACCCTGGCCGCCTAATAGGAAGAGCCATATAAATAACGAATTGGTATGATTTCATTTTAATATACTTCGTAATAAGGATCAGGTAGAAAAGGACTTTACTGTACTTGGTATTTCCAATTGGCACCAAACAGCCAAAAGGAGAAACAAATGGCGCAATGTTGTTAACTCGGTTATAATCGCGTAACCGCTGTCTTCTCCAGTAGAAGTATTTTTAGAATTTTAGCATACTAGGCTACCTTTTCACTGCGGGGTTGGACAGGGTTTTCCAATAAGAGGTGTTATTTGATAAATAAAGAAACTTTTCGCTAAAAGATCGATGGTTTCATTGCTGGGGTGGCACGAAGCGTCGTCTTGTTGAAAGTAAACATGGTTCAGATCAATACCATCCTCTACCCGTCATGAAAAACATTAATCGTCTCTCGATAGCGCAATCCATTAATGTTCGAAAAATGAAGGCTCAATGACGCCACCGGACCATAACCCGCACCAAACCGTAAGTCGTCGAGGTTGGAGATGTTTTCAACAATAAATCTTGGATTTTCCGAGCATCAGATGCGGAAGTTTTCCTTTTTGATGACAAGATGGATTTTCGAAGAAATTTTTACAGTGAATTATAAGAATTTGAATTATTATTTTTTTAATTATCAAATGTGAGAGAATTACAGCTCCGAAAGTGACATTTACCCGAAGGACCCGTCTTATTGGAAACCTAATTGCTAAATGTGTGCCTTAATGATATTCTTCTGTCTTTCGAATAGGATATTATGAAAACATAGACTTACCTGAAAGGGCTTGAGTGAGGAGCGGTGTGTTGTTGTTCGGCGTTAATTGTCCGTTAGTTAAATCCACTATTGGTGACGCACATGGGGTCATAGCATGCGACAGATAGGAGAAAAGAAAAAGACAGTTGTAAAAACGATGCGTTAGTTATGCAGATTAATCAGTTTCACTACAACTGAGTTATGAATTCGAAAACTAGTTCAAAAATTTTGTTAATATTTATTGAGTATTTAAATAAATTGTACATACATACATGGTATACAAGTACAGTTATGTAGTAAAGTTTACGAGTATGAGAGTAAGTATTTGCCATAAAAACGAAATATAAAAGTAATCCATAAAGAGGAGAACAAAGATGTAAGCAAACAGATAACAATAGGAATCAGTAAACGCTTCTACGAGTATGTGTAGTAATTAAAATATCTAGGTGGAATCAAAATAAAAGGAACAACCCTCGTTAGTTTTTACGAAAAATGTAGGAATAGCTTTATGATTATGATTAATCTCCCTTTATTTCGAAATAAAAAACTACTAACGATAAGATAATCCATTATCATATCGGTTGAGTTGAATCTTGTATTGCAGTTGGCATTTTTGATGAAGGGATCAAACTAAGTTGATATCCAGCTTGTGAAATAAGTACAAAAACAACTAATGATAAATTGATTTAAAATATATTAATGGAAATAAACTCTGTATTCTCTCATTCACGGCTAACGAAAATACAAGACATTATTTCAAATTATGACATATGTATGTGTAAATGTGTAAAATTTATATATATAATAATATTCTTGTTGAATAGATAACTACACGCCTCATTGTATTGCTTGTACCACGTGGCTTTAGAATCAGTTCAGGTGTACTCTAACTGTAGTCACAGAAATCATCACGAAAACTAGAAAATATAACATTTGCATAAGAAAAACAAAAAGGGTTCCAAAATTCTTTTTAGGAAACCCAGAGGCTTTTTGTATTTTACCAAATTTTGAAAAACTGATACCAGTAACGGTTATATTATCCAAAGTTAATAAAATCTTTGAGCGTAAGGCCCAACTAAATTATTTGTATATAATAGACAACAGAAATAATGGTAATTGTGAAACCATATCTTCATGTCAAAATTTATATGCTCATTATGTATAATATAACAAATCCTTACTTAAAACTGTCAATTTAATTTCCATTTGCAAGATTTGTGATGCATAAGGAAAGGTATAGTCTGAAATATCAGTCTGGTTTTATGAAATGTATTTGTGTTTTCTTGAAGCTGTTTGAAGGTTTTCTAGAAACCCCTTTAGGTTCTCCATAAACCAATTGGACTTTTCTGAAGTATATCTAGAAACCGTGTTTTTCTTCTTTTATCTCACATACCCACTCCACTATAATTTCATGTTTGCAATATTTGATATATTATTGAGGAATGTTTAAGTAAATACTAAGAGTTTGTCAGTAAATCTAATACTTTTGTAGTAGAATATTTATAAATATACTAGCAAAGAGAACATATTGCTCCACGAGTATCGCTGATCTTATGTGGAGCCAAATTCTTGGCGTTCTTCTGGAGAATCATGTTTTATGACGAATAAAATTTAATTTTTCCTTATTAGCGCCTTAATATTTGTATTTAGTTGGTGTCTTATTTCGTAATTTTAAGTTTTAAAATATGTATGTGAGGATCATTTAACAAATGAACACAAAACTTTGGTGCGTTAAATAAATAAAACTATTCAATCGGGAATATATGGTAATATAGGTTCCAGATAAATGGAGTAAAGTTGGGATGTAGACAAGCATGACTAATTTCCCTCATGAAATTCTTCTTATATGTAATAAATAACGGTTATTTTTTGAAAGAACACTGTAGTTATATATGCTATATTTTATTTGTGTGAATTAGGGTAGAATTATATTGTACTTCAGAAGGAAACCGCAAGAAACAAACAAAATTAATAAACAGTTTGAAATCAGTGGAATGAATAATTGTGTTTTTTGAAACATTTGAGTTTTGACGAAGAATTATTATTTTCAGAATTGGTCTTTTTGACAGCGGTTTCTTAATTTACACTCAGTTCAACTAATTTTATATTGAACAGACCTACTCCGGAACAGGGCTTCCAAATACAAATCTATTACCACGCGACGCAATGCGCGCAGCGACCAATGTTCGGTCGTCATATTCGCCCCGCATAGTCGATAACTCGTGCATCTATGGATCGTTTACTCTAGTGGATAAGGCACATCCTCAGAGACGCCGTGCACACCGAATCAAAGATGATATCACTGCAGTGGGTCGATTCTTTATCACGCAGAACAATCGGAGATGGGCCTAGCCATTTTATGGAAGATTTTAAGGAAGAATCTTTGTTTGCGCGCTTACTGAATGGAACTTCTCCGGAGTTGAAGAAGAACGGAAATGAACCCCGTCCGACGCTCTGTGAATGGGCCCAAACCGAGATGGCCACCGATCTAGATTTTCACGAGACTGTTTGGTGTGCTCTCTGAGCAGAGGATTTTTCGATCCATATTTCTTCAAAAATGAACCCAGCCGCGGGAGCGCTATAGAATCTAACGCTATATATCTGAATTGGTGGATGATTACGACCTGTTTTACACTAAACATTTCATTTATTGAAGGAAACTTTTGGTAAGCGGATTATTTCGCCGTGGCTTCCAAAATCGTGTAATTTAATATCGCTGGACTATTTTTGTGGGGTTAAATGAAGTCGCTTGTGTACGCAGATTAGCCCGAATCGATTTGGCAAACCCTTATAATTGTGAAAAAGGTAAATTTTTGGTTATAACATTAAATGAAACGAATATGTTTTATTTCTTTTCGAAAACCAAGTGTCTAGGAGCATCCTTTAAAAGTTATTGTTGACTAACATACAAGTATTATATAGCAATATTAAGGTATTTTATACGAGTTTTATAAATCCTCTCTTACGCAATTAGGTTTTCACTATTTGACCAACAGGTTGGACTTATTTGTTTTGAAAAATGATCTTTGAAATTAGGTAACTCCAACTTGCCATGGGCCTTTTGGAGATGGCTTAGAATAATCTGCGGGTATTTCCTTTTTGTTGGAAAAATATCAAGACGCATATCAAAAACTGGAGGAGGAGGTCAGCCGAAAATCACTTTAACGGTTACAAAGCGCCAAAGGGGAAAAACTTATATCTCATTTTGAATCTCTTCCAAAATTATTTCAAGCAAAGCTGTATTGGCGCGTAAATGATAATTTCATTGCAAATTTAATTTCGGAACTGTTTTTTTATTCAATAGTCGTAACATTTAATTAATTTAAGATTCCTGGTAAAATGATTTGGTTTATTAGTTTATAAATAAATGAGTTTTATTGAACCATAAAAATATTGAACGTTGTTTGGTTGTTTGTATTAGGTAGAGGAAATGAGCAAATTAAAATGGATTACACTTTTTCGCTACTAACCGATTATTCTAATTGAATTGCAAAAATATATGCATGTATACAAGTAATCGTTTAAATAAATATATACACGTATATACTTACACAAATTTACGAATTACACATACATATTTATAGGTGTTTATATGTAAATGTATTGGAAAAGGTTTTTGAAACATTTATTTTTGTACATATATATCTACATACTGTTAGTATTTGCAACTACAAAACTTTTTTTTACTTATTCACTAAATTAATGAACATTTATATAATAATAGTACTATTGAACTATTTGAACAGCTACATTTTGTGTTAGCACATACGACTACACGGCATGTGTCTATATATGTAAATGCACATAAACTTGCATCTATTTATTATGTATGCTTAATTCATACATATAATATGTATGTATATATAATATAATTCTAAATCTATTTACTATATTATTTTCTGCTCACGGAATATTCATTAACTATTTATATACGCTAGTACATACATACAATAGTATCCGTTAAATATATACGAATATATATATATATTGCAGTTTAGAATGCAATCAACAATCGACAATTATATGCACTGTTATAGTTGATGACTAACTTTGGCAATCGAATTTATTGTTTAAATATATTTTATTGCAAACGAGAACATTTTACGCGTACTTGCGAAAGGATGTGTGTATGTATGTATGTATGCTCTTCCGTGCATATTTGAGTTGCTATATAGGAAAGTCGTGGAAATCAATTCTGCCCAATATCGAAATATGTGAAAGTATTATTGAAAATTTATTAACTAAACCCTTTTCGTAATCTAAAATATTAAGTAAACGGACATGCAGATTTTATTGTTAAAAACTCCAATTGGCTCAATATTGTTTTTAAATAATTATATGTTTCAACTAATATTACAATTAAATATCTTTTACTCTGTTGAAGAAGAATGATATCAGACAATTTCTGATTCTTTGACAAAATATAATCGAATAGAAATGTCCTTTACTGGCCTTCCTGGGTGAAGACGTTCTGATTTCGAAATTCGAAGAAATGTTTATGTATTCTGCTTGACAAGAAATGGAAACAGTATTGTGACTGTGGCAAATTTCATTTAAAATGGACTTAAGTCATTTTCACTTAAAACAGCTCATATATATATTTGCATACTACATACCCATTATCCTTAGTTATATATTTGTATATGTACGCTCTTACCACATAAATTATGAGTTTGTGCTATGTTATGCTAATCGATACTATTTTTGACAAAAACAATTAATTAATTGTAAGAACAAACGATTTCAGGTCACATAAATAACATTAATTGGTTACAATTGCAAATTGAATAAATACGAACTACTTATTTGTATATTAAACTGAACTAATCTAATAACTGAAGTCTACCTGACCTTTTGAAGTCTGCCGAATGTAGTATTCGACCGCTGTGTAATTCGCTGTTGTTTGTCTGTTTGTTATCCAGAGGCCCTTTGGTGTTGCCATTTGAAGTCCGTTTATGCTCTAACTCACATGATTTCTTTGATGGCGAGACCACTTCTTACAATATTTTCTAAAATATTTCAATGTAATATCACGTAATGCGAATTGATTATACTTGTATATTAATATAATAAATCATTTCGTTTAT